ATGTTTATTTCATTGGAATTAATTTCTATTTATCATTCGATTCTATTATAACCGTACATTGAACTGATGTACAAATAGTACATTTGGATAAGGATCAATGTAATATCTTCTTTTTTTTTGTTTAGAATGAGAAAAAGATGTTTCTTGCAAAGCAAATATTGCAAAAAATAAAGAAGTGTTCATTTTTACAAAATGAAAATGATTGCATTGAATTGTTGTAATCATTTTCATTTGTAAAAAATGAAAATTATTAATCAGAAGGGAAATCCAAAATGAAATCCAAAATTTCAATGAATTTCATGAACATTTTGTTGTTGTTGATAAGAGAAAAAAAAAGTTCAAAAACTATCCAGTTGTTGACATTTAAAATGTCTTATAAAATATATGATGGGCTATATATTTTACTTAAAGTCCAAAAAACCAATTCATAACATATGTTGTAAATTTATTTTCCTTGTGAAAAAAATAAAACGATATCGACAAAATTGCCCAAATCGATCCAAATTATTCAAGCACATTGAACACATTTTATTATTATTTTATCCATTAAACAAAACAAAAAGGAAATTATCGTTTTTGTTGCCAGTAGCAAGAAAAAAACAAAACAAAATCATTGATGCAAAATACACACACACGTCACATGCATACATTTTCCAGATTATCAAGTGTATTGTCTAGTTCGGATGGTGATGAAAATTGCTCGAATACAGACACCTTTATCCAGAAAAAAGGTACATTTTTTTGTCTGATGAAAAATGTTATTAATACCAGCCAATTAATTAATATTTTTTTTCCATTCATTCATTCATTTATCAATAACAATGATTTTGATCAGAAAAAAAGAAAATAATTACTTCATAAACACCGTAGGATTAATTATTTTGATTAAATTTTTTTCAATGGAATTAATACGGTTCTTTTTCCTTTTCTTTTCTGTTTCATCATGTGATCAGAACTTTCGTTGTATGAACAAAATTTAATTTAAAAAATGAATAAAGTTTTCAATTCTAAACAATGACGCAAAATGAATGTTTTTTTTTTTGAATTGGAAAAAAAAATTTCTGTGTTTGGACAACAATTTAGCCAACATGAATATAATGAATAAAGAAAAAAAAATTAACCAATCGATCGATCGATGGAAGAAAATGATTTACCATTATAAAAAAAATAATCAAAAGAAAAAATAGAAAGATTCGTGTGTGTTGTTTTGGGAATTTATATAGATTTTTATGGGCTCAAAAAAAAAATTGGAAGATAAGAAAGAATAAAAACAAGAAAATTTCTCCATTCTTTTCCTTTCCTTGTGAAAACATTTCCTGTTCTCTTGTATTAAGCAATGAATGAATGCTGTGAATGTGAAAAAACAAACAAACATAAACCTGAACTATATGTTGTTGTTGTTGAAAGAACAAACAAACAAACATTTCAGAGAATAGAACAAGGGGTTAACTATAGATCATGATGAAGATATAGGGGAAAAACTTCTAAGTTTACACATAGATTTTTAACTATAACCATTTTTTTGGATTGAATACAAATGGTAATTGGCCAACCAACCCTATGGTAATCATGAATGAATTAGATCAAAAACAAGACAAAACAAAACTTTTGCTACAAAACAACAACAATATGATAGCCTAATTGCAAAGGCAATTGGTTTTTTTTCTCATAGACAATTTTCCGGTTTAAATATAGTCTGATTGATGATTAACAAAAAAAAAAAAAAAGTTAAAATTAAAAATCAATTGGTTTTGATGATGGTTAAACCACACCTCCACAGAAGAAAAACAAATGACAAAAAGCATATCAATAACATGATTATAGAAAACATATTCGAATCGAATGTTTTTTTAAAAAAAAGATGGTCACACATTTGAGTAAAGTCTTGCTTTTAACATCCATTTTTATTCATTTGACACTTACCACACACACACACACATACAGACACACACACATCACACCACTCAAAACAAACATAAATTCAGTGTACCAAAGAAGAAAAAACTTTCTTTCTTTCTTTTTTGGTAATTATTCATTAATAAAGAAAAAAACTAAAATAATAATAATGGCTAATATTAGTAGGTAGAATCTATTTGAAAAGTTTCCAAATTTTCTTCATGTTTTTTTTCCAACACATTTCCTTATTTATATTCAATTAAGTTGAGAATTTTCTTTTCTTTTCTTTTTTTTGAATGTTGTCAACAGAGAAGAATGATGTAAGAATGAACTTATTGAACAATAATTTTTCAAAGAATTATTGAATTGGAACAAAACAACAACAAAAAAAAATGAAAGAATCCAGTGAAACAAATTGTGTTAAATTGAAAACTTTCTTCTTTTTTTGGTTGACAAGAAAACGAAAAAAAAAACAATAAAGAAAATGCTCAGGTACACTATTCGTTTGTTTTTGTTCGTTTGTTTCAAATTCATTCGGTGCCATATGAATGATGAAAACAAAAACGATAAAAGTAAAAAAATAGTTTCAAATAATGAAAAAAGTGAAATTTGATCAAATCAATGTTTTCTAAGTTTGAAATTTATTTTTTGATAAATGAAAAAAAAACGTAAAATTTATTCACTTTCCGAATAATAGAATTCATTTGGAGAAAAAACCAGGATCCAATGACGACAGCCAAAAAAAAAGAAGAAAATTTTTAATTTCAAAAAAACTTTTCCTTCAAAATTGTTTTCGTCATTGATGATGACGGATGAATAGTTAATGTAAATTCTGTGTTCATATGAAACGAAACGAAACGAAACGAAAAAAACAAATAAAATCTACCAATGAAACCAACGTAAATCGATTCTATTTAGACCTGCAGGCTTTGCTGTCGTTGTTGTTATATTTTTATTGGAAAAAAATATCTTTGCTATCGTCATCATTATCATTATTAAATTGGAAAAAAATAACGTTTATTATTATCATTTATATGGATATAATAATATTAATAAATTCAATTAATTCAATAAGTTTCTATATTGGCAAAAAGAAAACAAAAAAAAAACCCGGGCAAGTGAGAATTGAAAATGATAATCAATATTGCTTTGCTTTTGTTTTTGTTTTTATTTTAGTTTTCGTTTTTTCAAATGCATCATATGGGCAATATGAAATAATAATAACAATAAAAAAAATTGACGGAAAGATAAAGGAAAAAAATGATTGTTCAATTCATTTATCAAGCAGATATCCGAGAATGGGATTCATTATTATTATTGGTTATTCGAATTGGCATTTTCCTATCGAAAAAATTACCAAAGAAAAACAATGATGAATCGATAAAGTTTCATTATCCACACACACACACACAAACACCTTGATTATGGAGATGAAAAGCAAAAGATTTTGTTAAAAAAGATTCTCAGTAAATCATTAACGATATTCAATTTACATTAACAAAATATTTTCAATGTTTTGAATGTCTATTTTTAATCAATGAGAGAGAAAAGAGTGAAAGAATGAAAAGAAACCAGAATCCATATCATAGCCAGAATTATTATTATCAGAACTGTAATGGATGAATGAATAAATAAACGAATGAATGACTGAATGAATGAATGTGAGAGATTTATTCATTTTGTTCAATGATGATGACAATAACGAACAAACAAAACAAACAAACCAAGAATATGTTTGTTCACAAATGCATAGAATGCATAAAAATGATACGACTTTGTTTTGTATTTGGTAAATTTATATTGAGCTATTTTTTTTTGCACTTTTCAAAAATAAATGGATTGCAATAATAAAAATGGTAGGATATATGTGTTTTGTTTAACAAAAATATCATTCATTCACTTGACAAATCTTTTTTTTTGGCTTAAAACAAAACGAAACGAAAATATCTTCAGCAGCCATAATAATGATAATAATAAACCCGACAGCAAGACAAATTTTCTGTTTGCTTGTTTGTTGAGAATGACAATTTTTTTCTTCATTTTAATAATACTGTCATTCAAAACACACACTGACTTTGATAAAGTTTTACCGATTCTAAAAGTGTCCAAAAATAAAATTTTTTCCTCTCATTTTTATTTTGCTATGATGATGACATTTATGGTTTTTTCTCTCTTCTTCTCTAATTTCTCATTTGTATAATGAAGATGACGTTAACAACAGAATGATTATGGTTGAATCAAGAACCATATGAAAATCGAGAATCAAGAATCAAAAATCGAAAGAATAAACAGAATTTCAACAATCTCTATATTGAAATTTCTTACAAATTGTTTTTCAGGCAAACAAACAAATAACAATAACAAAAACAATGTTTATCCATACATCGATCGATCTGAATTTGATTATTATTATCATCATCATTATTGTTAAAAATGATTATTTATCGATAAATTTGATTATCAATTGAATTTGGTTGGTTGGTTGGTTGATATGGAAAGAAAGTAGGAAAGAAGAAAAAGTTTTTGTTTTCCAGTGTGTGTGGGTTGCATTTCAAAATCGATTCAAAATGATGATCAATTCATTTTTGTTTTTTGGTTTTTTTGTGGTCTCTATGGATATTGTTTTTGGAAAAAAAAAAATTTTCCCTGTTGTTGTTGTTGTTGTTCAAATGATAATAATGCAGAAAATTGAAGAGAGAAAAACCCGAAACGGTTACCATCGAAACACACACACAATGAATGAATGAATGAAATATGAGTGAAAAATGTGTTAAACGAATAGAGGAAAAAACCGCAGCTCAATATGATGATGATGATATTAATTTCAAGTTAACAACAACAACAAGAAGAATATTTAATATTGAAAACACACACAAAAAAAAATATTTGTAAATATAATCCAAACAAGCTCATCATATTTTGTGGAAAAAAAAGGGAATGGCAGATGTCCATATATGGCCGGCCATCCAACCAAGTTATGAATGGATTAATTAATTAATTGGGGAAAACAAACAAAATTTCCATTAACGGTAAATTTTCCATTTCTTTTCTTTTTTCAAAAATGGTTATTATGGATGGTTATTTGATGGAAAAAAATGACTTACCCTTGCTAAACGCTAATGAAGATTCGACAAATATTAACAATGAAATAATAGCAAGGCATTTAATTATCATTAGCCAATATCTATAGCCACCATGATGATGGTGATGGTGGCTATAATTATGATGATAATGATGAGATAATTTCATTTTGGATCGATTATTATTATTATTATCGTTTTGATTTGACATTTACGAATACATTATATATAAGACAATCGAAAAAGAAAAAAACCTTGATGATAAAACAGTTAACGAATGATGATGATAATTGATAATCACAGAATTCGTAAAAATCATTCAATTCGGTTGATATTCGAATGATATTAGCGACGAAACCAGCGTCAACAAATCAATTAATCAATCAGTCAAAGAGTTAGTGACAATTATGATTATTCAAATTTGTGGATTATCAGTCAGTCAGTCATCAAATGGATGATTTGAAGATTGAAAAATTAAAAACACCAACCAACACAAATAAACAAACAAACAAACAAACACAGCAAAGAACAAAGAAGAATAATAAAAAAAATTCTGGGCAGAACTAAATAAAAATGAGAGTGATCCAAAAAACCCGAAACAGCCAAAAAAAAACGAAACAGTCAAAGAATAAACCCGATGAATATACGCTTTTTTTTGGTTGTTGTTGATGATGATCTTTGCCAAAAAGAAGATTCCAATTTTCATTTATCTATATTCACGAATACAAAAATATATTTTTTTCACAATGAGTCAAATTCTCTATTGCTATAGACGATATCATATCTTTGATATTTACCACTTACACAAACACATCATCGAACAACAACATGTATACTGTCCATTCTGAATTTTCGGGGTCCTAGGACCAAACCAAAACTAGAAGCATTGCAAAAAAAAACGAAAATCGTGGATCGTCGATGGTCGATGGATCGTTTTATGATGATGTTCGTTTGTTTGTTTCTTTTCGATATTAAGCTATATGCATGTTATAACATGCATGTTTTTTTTCTGTTGTTGTTGTTGTGTTTTCTTCTTCTTCTTCTCTTTTTCCATCTCTCAATGTATGTTGTTGTTGGTCGTTGAATCCATGAAAAAAAACCCGAAATTTTTTTTTCGGTATCCGCAAGCGCGTAACTACTATGCCGAAAAAACAGAGAACGAACTAAGTGGGAAAAAAAGAAGACGTAAAAATGCTATAGAGAGAGAGAGGAAAACGAGAAACCCGAAAGATTGGAATTTTGTTCTTCTGTGCTTGAAGAATCAAAAGAAAAAACTATGGAAAAAAAATTATCATCATCTTGTTACCACTCTTTTTCTTCTTTTTTCTTTATTTCACTCCTCCCATATATTCCATCCTATTGGTTTTTGTATGTATGTATGTGTTGTATGTTGATTATTACATGATCATATATACATCCATCGAACTTCAAAACCATTCAATGTTGATGATGATGATGATGATGGTTATATTCATTGATGATTTGTATATGAGATTTGTGTATACAAAAATTTTTGTTTCCCGTAAGTTTATACCGAAGGGGAGAGAGAGAGAGAAAAAAAAAAGAGAGCAAGCTCTTTGAAAGTTGTTAGTGGCGAGGCTTGTTTGAATTTGAATTTTTTGATATTTATTTATTTTACTCGCCCTTGCTGTCATGCATAAATGTGTTTTTATGTTGTTGTTGTTTCGTATGTGGGTGCCAATCAATTTGAATTTGGAACACACCGTTGTTTTTCATCGTCGTCGTTTTTTTTGTATATTTTATCAATCAAAAAACTATAGGATTGAGGTTGTTGAATAGAAAAGCGCCAGCGCAAAATGTTTTTTTTTTTTTTTTGCTGAAATCCTTTTGGTTTCAATAGTTTTCCCGTTTTTTTACCTTATTTGAAAAAAAATATTCACGGAACGATACTACTGATGACCTCTGATGTTTTTTAAATGAAATTCAAAATTTTTTGAAATTTTTTTTTATATGAAAAAAAATTTTTGTTTTATAAATTCTTTGGAAAATGATAAAAACTTGTTATAAAATTTCTTGGTTTTTTTTGAAGAGGGTTAACAATTATTATAAAGAACATTTTCATAGAATTGATTTTCATTTGGATAATTAATTTTTGTTAAAATCATTTCGGTGGATGACTAAATTGTAAAATTGAATTTAATTCGATGAATCTGGTCGTGATTCATAACGTTTTGATGATGATGATGATGATGATGATGTTGATGATCTTTCATTACTATTCCATATACCATAGAAAAAATATATTGATAATCCCATAACCATCCAAACGCCAAATCGTATCCATGTTGTTGTTGATAATTTAAACATAAGATAAAAATTAACAAACATACTTAATATCGGTATTAATGGTACCCATGGAACTTGAAATGAAAGTTTTTTTGTTGATCTTGGTTGCATGGCTAATGAAATGATTGATAATACAAGTACAATGAATACGATCAATATGATTACGAAAGAGGCTATTTCCAATTCGACAAGACGATCTTCAAGAAATACCAACAATGCATCGAATATGATTAATATACATGCTATGAAGTGGGTTTTAAATATAAAATTAATTATGATGAATATTATTTTTTAAATGTACAATACTTACTAATGAACATTACTAAATTGGTTGATACTTTTGATGTTTGGAGTGTAGGTTCTTCCATTCGATCTGTATTGTATAGTTTAGCAATCATACTTCGATTATTAAATTTATCATTCAAATTGGATTTTGTTCGTAATGGTTTCATTTCGACTGTTATATTTCTATTAATATCATCACCGATATCATTTTCATGACTAAATCTTAAGATTAATACAGATATTGAAACCAATGTATATGCTAACAATGTACCAATAGACATCATATCAGCAAGTTCTTTAACATCGAATAAAGCAGCCATAGCTCCAGCAAATATTCCTGAAATTAATGTAGCTAAAATAGGTGTTTGTGTTCGTGGATTAATATCGGCAAATGATCGAAATATGACACCATCACTGGCCATCGAATAAAGAACTCTTGGCAATGGAAACATTGCACCAAGAAGACTTGTCGATAGACCTGTCAATGCTCCAATCGAAATGATCCATTTAGCCACTGGCCAGCCTACATATTCGAAAACATATGGTAATGGTGCGCCTTTGGTTATTTCTTCGGTTTGAAGATAATAAGGTAACATCAAAGTTTGTACAGCCGAGATGCCAAAATAAGCAAAAAAAACGAATAACAATGACAAAACAATGCTTATAGGAATGGAACGTTGAGGATTTTTAGCTTCTTCTCCAGTTGTGGCAATTACGTCAAATCCAATAAATGCTGTCCATTAAAATAAAATATAATCAAACTTAAACCAATTCTTATCATATATCACTAAAATCATACCATAAAAACAGGTGGCAGCACCGGACATCATTCCAGAAAATCCATAGGGCATAAATCCACCTTTACCAGCATTCTGTGGAATTTCATCTTTTGATAGATTCCAGTTATGAAAATCGATATGAAAAGAACCAGCAATGACAACAAAAATGACAACCAATAGATTGATACCAGTGAAAATAGAATTAAAACGAGTAGATTCTTTCACTCCAACAACAAGCATAACTGTCATGATAAAAAAAATGTTATAATAATGAATACAATCAACAAAAAAATAAAAATAATTACTTGTCAATAAAAATGTTATCAAAAAGGCCAAAAAATCCGGATATGCTGAAAGTCCTGGAACATCGATCGGCATATAATAACGGAGATTTGTCTGCACGGTTCCATTAACCAATGAATCAATATAATTACTGTAACCTCGAGCAACAGAAGCCGTTCCTATTTATTTCGTATCCAATGAGAAAAAAAAATAAGACAAAATTTAATTTATTTTCAATCACATAAGAAATAATAATTACCAATTACATATTCAAGAACCAAATTCCAGCCAATAACAAATGCCATAAATTCGCCTTGAGAAAAGATGACAAAAAAAAAATCAATTTAAAATGAGAAAAAATCAAATTGAGAATAACATACCGACAGTAACATACGAATAAACGTATGCAGAACCGGCTTTTGGAACTCTAGCACCGAATTCAGCATAACAAAGACCAGCAAAAACTGAAGCAATTGCAGCTAAAAATAAATTATTGTTATTAGCCATCATATAATTTATGATTTAATGAATAACAAAGGTTATATTTACCAATAAAAAAGGAAACCGTAACAGCTGGACCAGATGTTCGGCTAGCAACATCACCGGCCAATACATAAATTCCAAGACCAAGTGTGCTACCGATTCCTTTGAAAAACAAAATAGAAATAAAAACATAACATATCAAAACATTATCAAATCATACCTAATGCGGAAAGATCCAATGTGGATAAACAACGATTTAATCTTGTATCACTTATATGTGATGAATCGATACGTTTGCGTCTAAGTAACGCTTTGAAAAAATTTCTTAAGAAAATCATCTTGTCACACTGTACACATATATATAAACGAAGATACAAAATGAGCGCGCCAAATATTTTTTGTTTTGTTTTTGTTTGAAAAACGAGGACAGGAAATGATCAATTGATCAAACAAGAAGAAAAAACAAATAGTAACAACAACAGATAAAAACTATGAAGGCACAAAAATTTATTAAACAAATCTTGTTCTTCTTGTATACAACAAAATATCAATAGAGATGATTATTGATGTCCAATAACATTTGATGTTTGAATGATTAAAATTTTTTCTTTTGGGAAATTTGATTCGATTTTTGTTCGAAAAACAAAATAATAAAATGTCTAAATGAACACCAACGACATACAACACGTTGTCATAGATTCGAATGTTTAATAATGATGATTGATGATGATAACCGATGGTAATGATGTTCGAGATCAGAATCTTGTTTTTGGATAATAAAAATCAAAACAACCAAAACAATAAACAAAACAAAAACAAACAAACAAAATATCAACAAATTTTCGAAAATAATTTTCGAAAATTCGAATAAGACATTTGACACACACACAAAACTATGTTGTTGTTACCAACAAACTCATTACCATGACAAACCAAAAAACTAAATGAATAAATTTTATGTTTGAAATTATGAAAAAAAAAGAATTTTGTATCATAAAATCTATATCGAATGAACAACAGGTAGAAATTTGTTTCGTTTTTTTTCTCAAATGTAACAAATTCAACAACAAAATCAACGTTATAGTTTTATGCATAAAATAAATGAATGAATGAATGAAAAATTGAAAATATATGTTTGGCGCGTGTAAATGTTATTGTTCTTCAGGCAATTCGTTGATGATGAACAGGTGGTGTTAATGGTTGTGGCAGCCCAATTTCATTCAAACAAAATAACAAATACATAGCATACAAAATGGTCATGATAATGATCTTGATGATGATTTGAAGAAAATGTTTTTTTTTTAATTGAAAGAACATTCAACAAGAGAACAAAACAAAAAAAAATGTTCACTTTGGCGAGAAACTATTCATTATTGTCGATGCTGATGATATAAAGTGGCCAATGGATTATAATGAAATGCACAAATGAACAATGAAAATTGAAGAGAGAAACAACATCACAGATGGCCCATCAAGAAAAACGAAATGAAATGGACCTTGAGACAAATTAAATTCAAATTTCAATTGAAAAAAAGGCTTCTTTCTTTCTCGCACTTTCTCTTTCTCTCTCTCTCTTTATATTTGAGCTATGTGATAATTGATAATTATGATGATGGCGAAATGTATTATGGAAAAAAAATAAAATAAAATAATGATTGGAAGCTAAGATGAAAAATTCTTTTGATGAGATAAAAGAGAAGAAGAAAAAAATTTATTTATTAAAACTTTATAGCTTTATATGATTTTTTTTTTTTGATATTAATTTTTTATGATGATCATTATCAATTTAATATCATTTGGACTACTTTCATTGAAAAAAAAACGATCTAGATCTTCAATTTATTTTTTTGTTTGTCGGTTTTTATAAGCGATCGGATCTTCAAAGAAGATTATTTGTGCGTGTATGATGTAAAAAAAAATTTACCACCATGTGCTCATTCATTCATTCATTCTATTTCGCTTTATTTGCCTATATTTATTCCTCTTTTTTTCTGTATATATAACCATCATCATCAATTTCGCAACATATTTCCAACACAACAACCCGAAACGAATTCATGAAAAAAACGCCAGACATACATACACAACACAGACACGTTTATTTTCATTCATGTTGAAATCATTTTTTCTGTCTTGCGCGCTTCTTGTAGTTATATTCAAAAAACAATAACAATAATAACTGGCTGATGCAATTCTGGTTAGAAAAGGAAATCATTCATTCATTCATTCAATTTAATTGGGACAATCCAAAAAAAAATTGAGCAAGCGTATATCATCCTTGTCAAAAATATACGAATTTCATTCATTTATGTGCGACCGATATACAACCACGATGTTCTATATAAAAATAAAATAAAATATTTGTAATTAGGAAATTCACACCCGTTATTGGATAGGGATTTTTATTTTTGGTTGGCAAAACGTTTTTGTTTCAGCGGACAAATTTTCGAATTTTTCATATTTTCACACACTAAACACTAAAAGAATTTTTATTTGAAAATCATTTTCATTGATTTTTTGGATTATTTTGGAAAAAAAAGTAAATCATATTAGCAGGATTCTTTTTTTTTATAGAAAAAAAAACATTATTGACGAGCATTAACAATTTGAACAAATTCCGGTTTCAATGATGCACCACCAACAAGAAAACCATCAACATCAGCTTGTGATGCTAATTCTTTTGCATTACTAGCTGTTACTGATCCACCATAAATAATTCGAATAGTTTCAGCAATCTGTGGTGAAATATTTGTTGAAAACCATTGTCGAAGTTGTTGATGAACTTCTTGTGCTTGTTGTGGACTGGCTGTTTTACCTGTACCAATAGCCCAAACTGGTTCATATGCAAGAACAACTTTTGACCAATCTTTTACATGTTCTGTTTAAATTTTTCAATACAAAAAAATAATTTAATTAAAATCATTTGTTTTATCGACGAAAAAAGAAAAGATTTAATTACTTGAAATAACTTGCGTTTGACGGAATACAACTTCAGTTGTCTTTCCGGCTTCTCTTTCTTCGAAAAGTTCACCAATACATGCGATTACATTTAATCCTTCATTAAGAGCGTGTTCAACTTTTTCACCAATCAACTATGAAAAATATTTAATCATTATTAAATTGATACGGATTTTTTTTCGGAAATTTTATTTGAAAATACCTGATCATTTTCACCAAAAACATTTCGACGTTCACTGTGACCAAGAATAACCCATTCTGCTCCAACATCTTTAATCATAGCTGGACTTATTTCTCCTGTAAAAGCACCTTTGGCTACTTTATAACAATTTTGTGCAGCAACACCGATACTTTTGGATAATTTATGTCGAACATCGGCCAAATAGATACTTGGAACACCGACAACAACCTCTAAGGTACAAAAAAAACAAACAAACATTCAATTACAGTTATAGTAAACAACAATAATTACATCAACACTAACCAGTATTTGGATCTAACGGTGTGTTTGTTAATATTTTGATAAGATCATCGTTTGTTGCACGAGATCCATTCATTTTCCAATTACCACCGACAAAAAATTTTCGACCCATTTTCGAACGATTTTTACCGGATTGTTTAGTTGACTAATAATAATAAAAAAATTTAATCAGGTAAAAATTAGCGAGTACACACAAAAAAAAATAATCAATTCGAATGATAAGCACCGGCGTTTGACATTGAACGCATTGACTCATATCAGACGATGTTTGTTTGTCTTGTCAAGTTTTTTTTAATTTCATGAATAAGAACTATAGCGCCGCATAGTTTTCAAAAATACAAACCTTTTGGCCAGATTGATTTAATTTTGTTTTTTTCAAGCTAGAATTTGCCATTTTTTTTTTTTTGATTCCACAAAAAAAATATAATGAAAATTTCGCCCTTTTTATTTTGCAACTTTATTTAATTAAAAAAAACAAAAATTTATTACAATTCTAATTCTTGAGAAATTCATTCAATCCAGATGGGCCACATTCAATAATTCCATTATCTTTAAATGTTTTAATAACATTTTCAATATAATTTTCGGGTAAATTATTTTCTTTAGCACCTTTGATGATAATCTCTTTGTATAATCGACTTGGAATAGATTCGTTTACATTGACATTAGCATAATTAGATTTTTGTACATATGTACGACATTTTATCATAGGTTGATCATTTATTTCATATAATTTTATGTTTACTTCTATTGGATCGTAACCAGATTCTTGTCGATCTAGATTATCAATGTCATCTTTATCAAGTGTATAAACAACGCCGTAAACGATACTCTTTGGAAAAAAATTAACATAATTTTAATTAATTTTTGTGATCATTGAAAATAATAACAACAACAAAAAACTATACACATACATTCGAATCAGGTACAATATTAGCCGTTGCACCTTGCCATAATTGAGAATTACCTGCAAATGATAATCGAAATTCATTCAATAATCCATTGGCATGTTTCATTGCACTTTTATTGTTGATTTTCATTCGTTGAATGAGTAGATTCGAACCATAACAAAAATAATAGACAAATTGTTCTTTTTTTTTGTTTTGTTTTGTTTCGGGTGAGAAAATTGAAAGAAAGAAACCCAAAGAATCCAGTTTAATAAATGAATAATTCATTAATATTAAAAACTTACTTGCAGCAGTTGGCATGTTTTTTTTAATAATAATAATAAAAAATTTTCTTCAAATTTCAATTAATCCACTCACACTTGATTTTGGTTTTCGATTCGTTCGTTCCGTTTCTAATATACGATTGTATATCATTATTTGACATGTATAATTGAAAAAGACATTTGACATACTAACCAGCTGTCAATCGATTTTCTTGTTTTACCTTTCCAAATTATTATTTTATGAGATTTGATCAAAAAAAATGAAAAAAATATCATTGAAATATTATGGATATAAAAAGTTCTCATGTTCTATTTTGACATCATCAACATAACGCTTGACTAAATAACTTTATACATTCGGATTCTAAGGCGTTTGCGCGTTTCGAATGTTTGTTGGGTATTATGTTTTTTTTTTGATTAAGTTTGGCAAAAATTAATTGGAAAACAAATATCGCTTCCAATCACAATCATTTACGCAAAAAAAAAAGGAAAAATGACATTATCTAAATGGGATGTTTTTTTTGTTCGTGTGTAAATTAAAGTCTATATATAAAAAAAATAGAATAATAAACAACCCAAACAAATTCATGAATTTAGTTTGGATCATTATTCTTTGTTGTTGTTGTTATTATTGGCCATTCCATTTTCATTTTGAAAGAACAAACAAACAAACAGAGATAATGATCATGGTCGAATGATTTAGAAGAAGAAACTTTTCTTATCCCTATCATCATCATCATCATTTAGGATCGAAAAAAATGGCGAAAACTAAATTAACGAATATTGCTAAATCGATTTACTGACCATTATTATTCAAATGGATCAAATATGTAAGAAATATAATCATAATAACATCAAAACAATAAAAAAAAATGTCCAGTTAACAATATTTATTTATTTATATAAAGTATATATAATGTAATAAAAAAAGGGACTAAACCCTTTTTTCCAAAAAAAAAATATGATGGCTGCTATATGAATGAATGAAACAACAATGTATAGAATGTATAATAATAATAATAATAATGGTGATAATTGTTTGATTGTTGCAAAAAATGAATGAGATTTTGATTGATTGCTACAGATTATGCTTAATCTTTGTCTTTCTCTCTCTCTGTGTGTGTGTGAAATATTAGTAGAAAAAAAAGATAATTATTAAAAATTCGAGCTAAAAAAAAATTTGAATCTCAATAAATAATACAACAACATTTATAATGAACTATTTTGTAGGTTTTTTTTTTGAACTTCTCATCGATCAAAAATAACAAAATAACGATAACAGTAGTTTGACAGAATTTTTTGTTTTGGTTAGAAAAAAAAATCAAAATAATTAATTTATAGGACTGATGTTGATGTGGACGGTACATTATTGTTTACTTGGACAACTAATGATTTTAAATCTTCTGCACTTTTAACTTTTCTTGGCATATTTGGTTCTGGATATAATGAATTACGATGATATGGATTACCAACAAATACTGAATTTAATCTTGGCCTATATGCTGGATGATGATAAGTAGTACCAGATGCACATTGATATAATTGACCACTTTCAATCATACGATTATGATGAAACATTATATCACGTTCAGGTATTAAACTACCACGACTTTCTAATGAAATCATATTTGGTGGTACCGATGTACATGTATTCATTCTTGATGTTTTTGGATGTAATGAATGCATTGAATTAGGAAATGATTCTTTATATTGTGGTTGATATGGTTCAAGCATTCTTATTTTGCCCCATTTATTAAAAAAAATAAATATACAACCAATCCATGCGGCAATAACAATAACAACAATAACTACTTCATCTTCACGTACCATCATACCATCGGTCATTTCATCCGGATATGTATGTATCGGACGATTTATAAATTTACGATGTGATCGTCGTGTTTCTATTGGAGCAAAAAAATATAAAAATTAAATCATCCAAAACATCATTAAATAAATGTGAATTTATGATAGAAGTAATTGTAAGATAAATTGATAAATTCATCATACCATTATCGGGTGAAACAAATTGTACTAATCTACTTTGATTTGTTTGGCCTGTTTCGGATACTGCATTTATTCGTAATGAATATTCTGTACCCGGTTGTAAACGATCCAATGTTAGATTGGTAAAAAATGGTGGTACTTCTTGAATCACTCGATATCTTTTATAATATTTGAAATTTTAAATAAAATTTCAATTTAAAAATCATAAAAATTTATTTAATTTAAAATTACCTTGATTTAGATGGATGATAAATAATCTGAAATGATTGTAAATGACAATTTTTCAATGCTCGTCGATCATAACTCCAATGTAATCGAACTTCAGGTGGATACCATTGAATCAATACAACAGACATATTAACTGGTCGTGGTAATACGATAATTTCTTCATCATCGGTTATATTTTTTGAAGGCAGTGTATTGGATACATTATGATTTGTAACCAATCTTGTTGATGAATGATGATTATAATGATCATACCAATTTGTAAATTCTCCCAAATTATAGCTTAAATTGGTTGTTGATGATGATGGTGTCATTGTCATTGTTGTTGCTGTTGAAACTTTATTAGGAAAAAAATAAGAATAAAAATTCCAAATAATGAGAAAAATCATAAATCAAAAAGGAGAAAAAAAAACCTAAAACATCATCATCAATAACAATGACATGTGACAAGCATCATTGTAACAAAATAAAATTAATTTTCAGAACATTTCCTGTACTAATTTCTTTTTTTCGAAAAAAAGAGATGCTAAAGCAAAAGATAAATTGATTTAAACTGTGAAAATAATTCGTGAAAAAAGAAATTCTCAGCTATTCCAATTAGGGTAGGTATTTTTCACTTAATGATTAATTCATATCATTGTGAAATGAATTTGTGGATCGTATTTTTTCTTTTGAATCGGTTTTCTATGGAAAACAAAAAGAAACAATTTTTTTTGCAATTCTTAATATATGCATTCAAAACTAAGAAAAAATAAGAATTATGAATTATTTATCATATGAAAATGATTTTTTTTTTCGTTTTGTATTATATTTATTATCCAAAAAGAAGGAAAAAATCCAAAATCAAACCTTGTGATTGTGCTAGCTTAAATATTGCCAATATTGAAATGATTGTAAAAAATGATGATTGAATTTTATACAACAAAATAATTATTGAACGTTTCATTGATGATATTATTGTTGTTTTTGATGGTGACATTTCATAATCACAATTATAATGATGACAATAATCGTTAATGCCAATTTGTTTAGTCATTATCATTTCATTTGAAATCTTTTCTTATTTCTGTTGTTGTTGAATATCCATTAATATATAATATTTCTTTTTTTCTTAAATTGAATTTTCTGTGTTTTATATGTCACATCAGCATAAATAGAATTCTTGTATTCGTATACCAAAAACAAACAGAAAACAGAAAAAACTTTGGACAATTTTATATAATACAGGGTGATAATCATTATCATCAAATATTCATACATGTATTCTACAAATACATTTAATAACATTACACCATGATGATTGAATACACACACACACACAGACAGACAAACAAACAAACATAGTTATTTTTGTTTTCATTAAACAAACCGATAAGATTAAAAAGAATATAATTGGCTTTGACACATCGGGCACTATTTTTGTTTTTGTTTTTTTTGTTTTTGGTGTAGATGAAAATCATCAAAAATTGATGAAATTATTATCATTATTATAATCATATTATTTGATATTGTTTTTTCGTGCTCGACATGTTTTTATTGAAGTTCTTTTATCACTGATATCAAAATAATTATGAAAATATGATGAAAACAAAAACAAACAGGCAAAGATTCTTTTTACAAAGAATAAAAATGATTATCTTGAATTTGAAATTGATTTTGTTTTTGTTTTTTTTTTTGATTTGATTGTCGATCATTGATTATTATTGATTTCCGTTTTTTGTTTTTGTTTTGTTTGCAATCTTTAATTGCGAGGCAATTTTTAAGGATGAATAAAAAACGATTTTAGCAAATGAAGAAAAATAAATCAATTTTTTTTTTGATGATTAAGATATTTGTCAATGTTGTTGTTTTTTTCGTTTCAGTGATGATGATGATGATGATGGCAGTTTAATTTGTTACAAGAATCAATGTCTTTAATTCTTTTAATTATTGCCATTGTTGTTGTTGTTGTTGTCCATTACGTCTAAATCGTCATTGTTGTTGTTGTTTATCTCTTACATTTACACAAGAAAAAAAAGCATATTCAAACGGAAAGAGTCAAAGATTGTAACTAGATATATTATATAAAAAAAGGAAAAATATTAATAATATTAAAAAGAAAACCCGAAACAAACAAACACATAAAACATACAAACAATCATTTAATTCTTGTTTTCTTTACTGACATTCGTATATATTCTAGGCCCTTTTTTTATAAATAATGATGATGATGATAAGAGGATTGGTTGGTTGGTTGTTTATAAGTTATTGTGTTTAGTTTGTGTTTGTGGTAGGCAAATACGATGACGACCATATACCGTATATTATAATACGGTCGATGGCGATATAAAATTACGATCTGTTGTTCAGTATGGAAACACAAACAAAATGTAGAAGAATCGAGATTTGAAAATTCTCTATACATTCATGGTGTGTGTGTGTTCTGGTACACTCGCACGCATCATAAATTACACCCATGTGCAAAAAAACAACCAGAATTCATTTGAACGAATATTTGTATGGATCATATAGACACACCATACACCACCGACCAACATTCAATTGTAATAATCAATCGTTAAATTTTTTTGTTTGCGACAACTTTTATAGTTGAATCATTTCTTTTCTTTTCTTTTCCTATAGATTTCAGATGGTGATGATAATGATAATCATAATAAAATAAACTTCTGGCTTTACACCATTTTATTTTAATTTTATATTCTTTTTTTTTTTTTTTTTGTTCTATATAATTTATTACATAAATGATTATTGACTAAACTTCTACTACCTTTCAATCACTATGATTATATTTATCACCATATACACATGAATAATTTTGACCAGAATTGAAAAGAAAAAAAAATCAATGAATGAATTGAATGAATGAATAATAAGCATATTTTGACAAATGAATGAATGAATAAAAGTTGATTTCATAAATGAATAATAATAACTTGTTTTTTGTTTTGTTTCTGTGATCGAATATAAAATGATTTATACGAAAAAACAAAAATAAATTAGATGAATGACTTTTTAAAAGAAAAAAAATTCAAATTTAAAATAAATTTTGTCTCCATGACGTAAATAATTCATATCGATTATCGTCATTTGATATTTTTATTTTGTCCTTTTTCAAAAAAAAACGATCATTTTTCCAAAATTATGTAAAATTCTTCTCCTTTTTTTATTATATAAATAATATACAAAATTTACGATAAAATTACATTTTGGGAAACATGTCAATGAGAAAAAAAACAATGTTTACAAAAATTTCATTATGAAAATGAGATTTGTTTGTTTGTTTTTTTTCAAATATGCAATAATAAATACAAATGAGAAACATGAAAAAACAAAACAAAGGGTTAAATAAAGAATAATAATGGTTTTATAATATAATATTTATATAGTGGAAATAAAATGAAAATATGAATTTTAAAATCAAATAATCGAAGGTTGCATGATGGAAACAAAATATATTAAGGCATATTTTACACAATGAAAACTAATCTATAAAATATATTTCAGTTAAAATTGTGCCAACATATGAGATGTTCAAAAAAAAGAAAGAAAAGAAAAACAAATGAAATTCAAATGCCATTTGGACGAATTTCAGTTTCTAATTTTGGCGGCAACGCCATTGGTGGCTGTTGCTGTGGTTGGGGTGGATTTTGTTGTTGTTGGTTTTGATTAATATTGGTAGATGTGAATGATGGTAATACGATTGATAGCTGTATATGAAAATTATAGTAATAATCAATCAAAATGAAATTATTAGTTTAAAATTATTACCTCTTTGTCACGGTCGAGTTTGAAAGATTCGACAAGTTCTTCGACACGTTCGGGTGTTGGGCCCCATTTAAGAAATCCGGCATCGTTTTGTAGGAAATAAACAATTGTATTATAAAGAGATTTAACGCGAATTTCGTTTGGATTGCAAACATGTTGAAAACCATGCCTATATTCATGTTCAGATGCCTGTAAAGTCAAATGCATCCGTTTAAATTTATTACTTTCTAGCCTGGAGATTAATTTCTCTGATATTTCCGGTTTTTCTTGTATAAATATGATAAAAGATAGTGGTTCCATAGAATTTTCCAATAATTTTTCAAAATGAGTTATAGTAGCATTGATCAAATCTTCTGAATCAGGAGGATTTGCTTGGAATGAACCGGATATTGGATAAAAGTTAAGTATCGATCTATATTATAACAAAGAAAAAAGAATCAATAAACAAACAGGAAACAGGAATATAATCAATCAGTTAATATAAAGTAATATTATATCTAAAAAAAACTTACCCTCTGGAACCAAAATAACCATCAGTGTCTGGAAAAAATGAACAATATTGTCGAAAATAACAATTCAATGGTGATGCAAAACATTCAAAAGTAACGCCAAAATGTTTGTTTAAAGCTCCGAAAACGGATAATGGAAGAGAGTTCTGTGAACAGAGGCCTTCATTCTTATCGTAAAAACTCTTTAACGATAAAAATTTATTATTAATCAAATTTGAAACAAAACTGATCCATTACCTGATATCTTTTCAAAAGACACCAAACACGTGTTAAGAAATAGTTAAATTTTCGATCATCGCGACAATTGAAATAATATAACATTTCTAATTTTTGAAGATAATTGGTGTTCAATCGTAAAATTTCGGCATTCTTACTACAACGAAGAATTACAGTCTCTTTTTCAGTGATCATTAATGTAGGGGGTAGTTTTGGACAAGGATACATAAGATAGGCTGGATAGCAAGCAATCTTTTTGTTATTCATTCTTATGGAATATTCTGTAATTAAGAAAAAAATCGAATTAGAATTTATTATTGCAATTTTATAACAATAATCTACCTCTGATATCTTCTTTTTTAGCAATTTCAAGATTCATTTCTCGTATTCGTCGAGCATATTCCGCTGAAACATGATATATTTTTAGACAAATTGCTTCAACAGATGATTTAGCGGCATCAATAATATGAGGCTGACATTGTCTTTTCAGGTGTTCCAATCGTTCGATATAATCTTCAAATGTTGCATTTAATGTTTTTCTTATCCAATCAAATGCATCTTCTACATTCCATTTGACAATTTTTCGACTTTGACTGGAAACAGGATGAGCTTCGATTATTTTCTTTGCAGCTTCAGCATATTTTGACAATTGTTTACGAGCTTCTCCGCTGAATTTTGGTCGAATCAATTTAATTGGAATATCATTCATGATTTCTTGATAAAGCCAATTAGATAATTCATTTATACATTCGGATGGCAATATAGGATCACATCCTTTATCAATGATTTTACGTTCGATAATCCATTTTGTAAAAGAATCTTTTGGAGGATCGATTGTTTGTCGAGCACGACATAATTCCCAATATTGTTGTCGTAATTTGTGAACGCAATTAAATCTGGCTAATTCAATGTCCGGATGTGGATGAAAATAGTAAAAAAACGATCCCTCCCAAATATAACAATTGGGTTCAATTTCAAAATCAAATGGTCCAATCATAACTTTTTTATCATTGCTCATCACATCATTTTTGTGTTGAGCAAATGGTGTAAATGCTGGGTTAAGTGTTTGATAAATTGGTGGTGCTATATGATCGGAATGAATTGGTGGTTGAAATTGACTAACTGGTGGATTATTGGCTGATTGTATTCCCAATGGATCAGTCATTGGATCAAAAATATTTGACAATTTTGGCATTTCCCATATTGATTGATTAGTGTTTTTATTATAGAAATAAAATCGTCCTTCACGTTTACTCCATATTTTTCGCCAACCTTGTTGTAATAATTCATTTGGCAAATCATGAGACGGATCATTAGCGATGGTTGCTGCGGATGCATTGTTTTGATTTTGTGGTGGTGAAAGTAATGATTGGTGACCATGATGATGAAGATGTTGAGATGTTGGTGGAACAGGGGCAGTTGGTGTTGTCGGAGAAACAGGTATATTAACTAAAGATGTTGGCCCACTGTTCATATCATGGCCATGATGTTGTAAATTAGATGAAGTCATAGTGTAACTTGGCAAAGATGTTGTTAAATGATTTGCACCAAATTGATTGTGCAGCATAGCTGTTGAAACAGATGAAAAGGCTGATGTGGATGAAGATGAAATTAGATTCATATTGTTATTATTGTACAATGAACCAAGATAATTTTGTTCATTAGAATGATCAAAATGGTGAGCATTAACAGAATGATGATGATCATAAGATGATGATGATTTGGCAAGTATAATGGGATTCTCTTCGAGGGTATTTAATGTTTTACTACCACCAATTTTATCAAATCCATATGCTAAAGACATATCACCGGTGGTTTCAATATTTGTTTCTTTTACAGGTACTTGAATGATGTTATTCAACATTTCATTAGGTTGATCATAATTTTCATAATTATCTTCTTCTTCCGTTTCATCATCTTCAAAATTTACTTGTTTGGCTTTTGATCGATTTGTTTTTTTCTTCGAATTTGATTCTTTATTCTTTTCAACATCTTTCAATTTTGGTTTTCGGCCACGTTTAGTGGTGGTGGTGTTGGTGGTCGATGATGGTTTCGTAACTTTTTGTGCTTTTTTTGGCTTTGATTTATCAATGATCGATGTTTTTTTATTGTTTGTAATAACAGGAATTTCATTTTTTACAAGTTTATCTTCATGTTTACTGTTAATTGCTGTTTTCTTAGATTTTGATTCCGAAACTGTTTTGGATGTTTTACTAATTTTGACATTTGATGATTTATTATTATTGGCTTTGGTCGTATTTGTTATTGGCGATAATAATTCGTTTGATAAATCATCCGATGATTTGGTCAATGTTTTTTCAGTTATTTTTGTCGATTTAGTTGTCGTTGATGGACGACCTCTTCCACGGCCTTTAGATGATCCGGTGGTATTGATTTTCTTATTATTATTCGTCGTCGTCGTCTTTTTAGGTTTTGGACTTGTGTCCGATTTTCGACCCCTTTTAGCCATCTAAATAAATCAATCATATCAAAAATAAAGAAAAAAAATCCAAAATTTATAAATTGTTCCAAGAAAAATTTATGAAATCCTAAAACAGCATATATTGAAGCGCATACACTGTTGTGTTTATCGTATCTTCACTGTGTGTTATTATGAATGCAATGTCCTTCGCACGCGAGAAGAAGAAGTGAAAAAAAACCATTTTCATTTTGGCGCCATAAAATTTTTTTTTTCCCATTTTTTTCAAATTTAATTTGTATTTAAAATATTTAGATTACGAAATGAATGCTGCCATCTATCATAGTTTTAATTATTGATATTTAGATTTTTTTAAAAATTTAAATCTTAGATTGACAATTTTTTTGTTTGTCAATTTTTGACATTCGAATATATGGAATTTATGAATGAAGATATCGATTTGTATCAATCCTTATTGAATTCAAATAAACTTACCTCTGAATTTTAGTCATTTAATTTTTTTAGAAAAAAAATGAAATGAAATAAATTAATAAAACAAACATCAATCATTTTAACGATGGTGATCATCTAAATCTATCGAAGATGATGTTTCGAGAAGATATCAACAAAAAACAAATGATTCGTTGATTGAATTCAAATATTAAGAAACAAAAAACAAACAAACATATGAAGAATCACTTAGATAATTCCTTAACAAACGTATAACACACACACAAACAATTACCCGATATATTTTTTTTATTATTCGGTTGTTGTTTATTTCACTAATATTTGTTGTTGTTGTTGTCGAAGTGATGTTTATGTTTGATGTGTGTGTGTGATATTATGGCATACATCTTTAATAATTTTTTTTTGTTGTTGAGTAATCTTTACTATAAGAAGTATTTAATGTATATATAGAAATATGGCGTATATTGATTTTTTTTTGTTATATGTTCGTGTGTGTGTATATATAGCCCATTATTTTGGATTTATCTTGGATTTGTATGGATTTTTTTTTCGGATGCTGCTAGCTGAAAAAAAAACACGAAAACAAAGACAAGACACCAACAAATGAGTCGTCCTCCTTCACAATAATAATATTGTGAGTGTGAGTCGCGCGCTTAATACTCTGTGTGTTGTATATATCATTCCATAAGACAAGGTTGGATCCACACGACGATTCTTTTTCCATGTTATGATCAATGTTAAAATTTTCAATACACAAGTATATCCATCTAGTGGTACAAAAATCAAATGTTTTAATATTTAAATTTATTTGTTGTTGTTTGATTATTAGGTGAAAAAAAAGATATAAAATTTAATTTATAAAAAAACTTGGAAAAAAAACATTTACAAAAGATTATCATGAATTTTTTTTAATGTTGTTGAATTTGATTCAATATCGTATTCGAGATGTTTTGGTCGACATCCGTCTTCTTCCGGTGGTCATAAATGTATTATCCGATGATAATAATTTTGGCTGTTCATCCGCACAAACTGGACAACATTCACCTTTGATAAGAATTTTCTGACATCCTGGTGGTGATGGTTTACATTTTAATCGTTGACATTTATGTAGACCATCTTTACAACGACATTTTATACAACTAATTTCACCATATGGATCAACAGCTGGATTCCATTCATCACCATTTCCATAAATTTTTCCCCTAAAACGACAGCTTCCTGTTGCAAGAGCTTGTTCAACATTATCATCATTTGATGCTTGATCTGACATCGATTCCATTGATCTTGTTGATGTACGACATTTTTTACAACAATCCATTGGATTTTCTCGATAAGCATCACGTTCGGCACATGGTAATGGTGGACATTCATTACGTTTACATTTAATTTGTGCATTTTCAGTACACATACATATTGTACAACGATCAAAACCAAATGGTGGAATATATGGATGCCATCTTGATCCAATTAAATGATATCGTTTTTCCCCTTCAAAATAACATGATTGATTTTTGTTCGATGTATAATGTGATAATTTATTTTTACAAATAGGACAACATTGTCCAGGTACACGAATCTGTTCTTTACATCTAAGTTTTAAACATACTTCACTTTCACATTTAACACGTCCACGTTGACAGAAACACATTTCACAATCATCATTTTGATTTTTCCATTGTGCACCTTCATCATAAATCTGTGCTTCATAATAACATTTATAATTTGAATTAATTGAATTCATTGATGGATATGCTGATTGATCCATCATTGCTTTACGATCTAATGAATTATGATCTTCATATGAAACAAATGATGTTGCATTCAACATATCACGAAATATTTTATTCTTGCCAAATTCATTCGATTCTAATAGTTCATAATAAAGATCTTGATCATTCCAAATCGCTGAATGTGTAGCAGAATTATGTTTTCGAATCACACCGATCAATGAAGATTTTTTATTAATATCATTATTAAATGATAATGAAATTTTTAGATGTCGATTACGAATCATAGCACGATATGGTTTTGGAACTTTTTTCCATGATCCAAAAATAACAAATTGATTATTTGATCCAGTACTTTTATTACCAAGTACAATATATTCTTCAATGATTGTATCATCAAGATCTTGAAATCGTACAAAAGTAGGTTTATTTGGGCTAAACAGTAAAAAAAATTGTCAATTAGCGAACAACAACAACAAAAATCATCAAAAATGGTTTCATTCAACTAACCTTGTAGTTTTAATAATGAATGCTAGTCGTTGTTTATTTAAATGGAAAAAAGCTCTCGTTGCTACTGTCGTCATGTTTGATGAAATTGTCGTTGATGATGATGATGATGACGGTGACAGTATGGCATAGAATTTTTTACGAAAATTTTTCATAAGTAAAGCTTCTTCCATTTTTTGACTAGCAATTAAATCTTCAATATTATTGACATCTGATCAAAAAACAAACAAACAAGCGAAAAACAGAAAAAAATGGCATTATTTTGATATATTCCTCAGGTATTATTGGTAATTAATAAATAGAAAATGATTAAATAACAACAAACCTTCAGGACATGATTTACAGCAACGTTCAGGTAATAATACGGGATTTTTACATGTAGGCTTTGGGCAATCATTTTTAAAATTTCTACAATGTACTTTGGCCACTACACGATTATTATTACCTTCAATATTTTTTCTTTGTACAGCTATACATTCACAAAGTATACAATAATATACACCGAATGGTTCGATAGTTGGTTTCCATTTTTCACCAATTTCATAAACGTCTTTATCAAAAATACATTCTATATAAGAAGAATTCATATAAGATAAAAAACAACAAATAAATAAAAGACAGATTAACAAAGAATTTGTTTGTTTGTTTTTTTTCGTTTGATTTTCGTTTGTTTTGACATTGAACATGATAGGTACAATGACCTGAACAACAACAAGTGTTAAACTGTCATCAGATGCAACAGGTGAATGAAAAATTTTATTACTTACGTGTTTGTTGTGATACTTTTGGTACAATCATAGCATAATCTTCAATTAACGGTAATTTAGTTGAAACATATTTTAAATATTGATTTGACCAAAATAAAATGATTAATAAAAAAAATTTTGTAAATAAATTTATGAATAAAAAAAATTTGGCCATTGTTTTTTTTTTGCTGAATGATGATTGTCTGGATTGAAATTTTTTTTCAAAATTACAGAAAAATTCTTGGTTTTTTGTCTTTACTTTGTCCTTTTTTCGATATGAATGAAAAGTGAAAAAAACTTGGTATATAATCAAATAACACTTTGGTCACCATGTGTTGATATTATTATACATGAAATTCCAAGAAAAAAAAAATAAAACCAGTAGCCGATACATAAAACACAAAACAAACAAGTTTCCTCAATTAAACCAGAAAAAAAAGTATTTTGTTTCAAATTGTCGTTGTTCAATGAAAAATGTGAAAACATAAAAATAAAAACAAAGCATGAAAAAAAATCGTTGATAAAAATCTATTCCAGATGACAGTTGTGGAATTGGCTAATTATAAAAATGGAAAATTTGCGCGGTTCCAAATTGATTCAAAAAACAAACAAAAAAAAACAAATGAAAAATCAAGAAGAAGAATCGAACCGAAGTGTAATCGCGATGAATGTCAAATGTAAACTGAACTGAAATGAAATTTTCTGATTCAACATAGTATCAGAAAAATTTTCTGGCCTGTTACGTTAACGATAATAATTTTCTTTTCTTTTTTTTTGGTTGAATCATAGATAGATAGGTATAGCACACGCGGAGAGAGAAAGAGAAAGAGATATGACACATACAGAATTATAACCATAGTATAGTGTGTTCTATAACGATTTAATCTTTAAATATGTAAGATACAAGAAAAAAACAACTACCATCATCATCATCAAATGTTCCTAGAGATTTTTCACATTTGACAATAATAATAATAATATCCAGCTGAAAAAAAACCGACGAAAAGCGCGGATGGACCAAAACGAATACTAGAGAAAAAATCAATGGTAAAGATTTTCACTGAACTTTTTTTTTCACTCTTCTTGCTAAATGGATGATGGTCCAGAAATGATATTTTGTTGTTGACCCATAGGTAATTTTTTTTTCTACAACAACTATCAAAATGTGAAAAGAAGAAAAAAATTTAAAGAAGCCAGAAAAAAAAAGATTATTACCCACGTTAAGATCAATCGTTAATTTCATATGTACATAAATATGTTGTGTGTGTGTATTGTTCTGTCATATTATTGGGGCAAAATCACTTCACACTTTGGTATTTATTTATTTTTTATTTACCGAAATCATTTTCTCTCTTATTCGCGGTACCGGATGACGGAAACAACAATGGTACCTCTCTCTCTCTCTCTTTTCTAAAGAATTCTGATGATGGTTTCAGCAAAATTATTTGAAGAAAATGTTTGCGGTGACGGTTAGCTAGAATGTTGATGTTGTTGACACAAGTAATTCAGAAAAAAATTAGACAAAGTTTTTTCTTGGTTGTTTGAATAAAAAAAGGGGTTCCGAAAAAATGCCAAAAGTAGATCATCAAACAACGACCAAAAAAGAAAGAAGAGAGAAGTGTGTGGTCAAATTTATTTAAATAAATAAAATTTTTTCGCAAAAAAATAAATTCAAATAACCAAATGACCATTGAATTTTTCTTCGTTGTTCTGGTTAATGTTCCTCCTGTGTTGTTTGTTGGTCTTTCCGGTCAAAAAAAGAAAAAGAAAAATTTCCTTAATGTTTGTCATTGTCATTTGACAACAACAAACGGCAAATGGTGATTGTCACCTTTTTTTTACCCGATGATACATCTCATTATCATCATTATTATCATCATCACACCTGTGTGTATATATTGATTGAATGTAATTACAACTCATTAACCTACCTGATAGTGCCATAAGACTGTGTGTGTGTGTATGTGATTACCCGCAATGATTTTCTTCCTAATTTTTTTTTTCTTTAAAACATGACACATTAACACACACAAACCGATGAATGATCAAAAAAAAAAATTTTTTTTTTTCAATGATCAATCAGTAAGTGTGGAATACATGTCGTTAGTGAAAACAAAAATTATGCGCAGGTGTTCAATCAATTCTGTGTTTGTATTTTTTTTTCCTCTTCTTGAATATTGAATACTGCAACAACAACAAGTGTTTGTATTGTGAATTCTTTGGTGGGCAAAAACGATAGATAGAGAGAGAAAAAAAATGTGTCAAATAACGAATGAAAACATTAACGAAACACACACATGTCTTCTTTAAAAAGTAAATATAATTTCAAATTTTTTTTTCTCAATGTAAAAATTGTTGTTTTTTGTTTGTCAAATTTCATTTTATTATTAGGTTTTGAATTGAATTTGAAAAAAAAATATAGATTTTAAAATCATTACATTACAACGGGTAATAAAAAAAGGAAAAAAACAATGATTGAGAGAGAGCAAGAGAAACATGTTGTTGATGACAAATCAATTAGGAGAGATGAGATCATTTGTCCGGTTTGAAATTACAATTGTGAAAATAAATATTTAAAAAATAAAAAATAAAATGTGATTATAATTGGTCAATATTGATATACAACAGGCTGTATTATAAATTCAAACATAATTGATTAATAATGATCAATAATTATAATTATAATTATGTACATGATTATCATTTTAAAAATTATTATTTTTATTATTATTATTATTATCACATGTGAAATATAAGGCAGTTTGTTTTGTTTTGTTTTGTTTTTATCAATAAAATGTTACATTATATGATTCTAATTGAAATGGTTGTACATTAATTTCTAAAATTGTGTTTAATATTTGATTTGAACATTTTATTCCGGTTAATAATGTTTTCTGTATTGTTGATATACGTAAATCATTGAAAAGATGTGTTAATGATGATTTTTTTGGCAATACATTTACCGATTCAGATTCAGTTTCAGTTTCTGATTCAGATGATCCAACTAATGGTGGTGAATCATCATCAAAATTATTATTATTATCATTATGATTATGATTATAATCATAACAAATACCACTGGGAAAATAATCATCTGACGATGATGATTCGATTGTTGATTGTAATACAACTCTATTATGTAGTATCATTAAACTTGATTGTGATGGATGATTAAAATTATTATTAGCTGGTAATGTACGTAAATTTAGAAGAAAATATCTACATAAAACATTCGGTGCAATCAAATAACGATTTCGATAATAATTTTTTGTCAAACTTTTAGTCATCTCTTGTTCGTTACGATATGAATACATTATGATTGATGGATAATTTAAATATAACAATAATGAATCAGCTAATTGAGATAAAATTGGTGGTAATATTTTATCATCTGATGATGATGATGATGATTGATGATGATTATGTTCAAAAACTAACCAAAAAGTTGATTGTACGGGAATATTATCCATAATGCCTTCACTAAGACCACGTTTATCATCATTTACAATACGACGATCAAGCATTATTTCAATCATTCCATTTTGTGGAGAAGTTACACCATGTGAATGTGATGATAATACAGAAAATCGTCGTATTTTATCTTCAATAAATACGGCTGAAGTCATTGGATAATAATTTCCTTCAATATTGATTGAATCAATAAAACGTCTTTCAAGCATTTGAAAACCATTAGAATCAACATAAAATTGACGACTATACAAGGTTTTGTTTTTTCCATTGTCTGGATTAACATTATTAATATGAGTACGAAAACGAATGGCAATTTCTTGATTATCATAATTATCTTTATCTTCTAAATCAATCAATAATTTTAATTCGATAGCAGCACCAATATCAGATTTAATATTGTACAATTTAATCGAATATGCAATATCAGTATAATTGACTATTATAGTCGAACTTAAATGTCCTTTAAATAGATTGATAAATGGTGTTTGTGAAAAAAATAGATTCGGATAAGGATTTTGATGAATAAATTTCAATAAATAAGCACCACTTCTTTTTGGTTCAGAATTATAAGCAACAAATGACATATCAAAATATTCTGTTAAATTATCATTTTTAAAATGTATTTTTTCAATAAATCCTCTTGAATTTAATGTAACAATAAGATAATCATTTTCTAATTGAAATTTTTTCATTGTTTCAAATCGAAATACTTGATCATTTGAATGATTAATTCGTTCCGAAGGATGTTTAAAAATAGTAACTTTTGAATCAAGATTTTCTTCATTTGTTAATATTTTATAATTTTTTATCGATAATGGATATAATTGATCAAAAAATTCAATTTCAAAAATTCTTGATGAAAATTTTGAACCATTTATAAATATTGGATTGATTTGAAATGGAATTTTCTTTCCATGTTCAATATCAATAATCTTTATGAATGGATCATTAGTAAATATTTTGATTGATTCGATTCGTAATTGTGTATGTGAATTTAGTACCAATAATCGTAATCCATCTTGATCGGAAGGAATTTGAAGTACATGTTGTTTGGTAATTGTATGCCAATTCGATCGATATGATGTAGTGAAAATAAATTGTTTAGTATTATTAACATTGTTAATTAAATCGTTATCTAAATTTAAATATTGAATAATTTTGGCCAAAGTTATCATTGTACTATTAATTGAATGACTTAAACGTCGACCATAATCTTCCATAACAAAATCTTTTGAAGTACCTGTAATACCATCATGATGTTGAAAAAGAGCTAAATTTTGTCTAGCATTAGTAATATTATTATATTCTCGATCAAGCAAAACATTTAAATAATTGTTTTTCAAATGTTGACGTAAAAAATTTCTTGTAAGACTATAGAAAATTTCAGTCGACCGTAACCAATGTTGTAGTTCTCTACTTAATGATTTAAAATACGGACGTGTAGTAAAATAACCCGTCCAATAACTGGATACTGAATCCACATAAACATCGGCATATGGCATAAAATCACCTTCCAATATTGGATAATTGTTTTTGTTTATTGGCAATCGTTCGTTGACAGCAACAAAATAATCATCAACAGTACCGAATGTTATTTCCGTATCATTAAATTTGTTTCCATTCGAATTAATATAGTCCATAAGTAGCATATAATTTTTATATTGTTGTTGCCATTCAATATCGAAATTATAACGAAAATCATCACCAAGTAATACTAGTGCTACATTATGTGTGAATAATGATCCCAGTTTTGAATATTGTTTAATTATTTTTTTAGCTTTGTTATCTATATTAGTTGCATTCAAAAAGGTGGCTGTAGATTCTGAATTTTCACCATAAATTTTACGAAAATCAAATTCTAAACAAACTTTATAATCAGGACCGCATGCATATTTAAAACTATATAAATGTAATGGTGACATATGACATAATGGTAGACGATCAGAAGGATTTTGAAATGATTGTTTCCAGAAAAAATCTAATTTTCGTTTTTCGGATAGATATTTTTTCCAAACATGATGTGTTCGTTGAATGTAGATATTAGAAAGGCCAGATTTTTGTAATAAATACGGAAATGTAGTTGAATGACCAAACGGATCGATTGACCAAGAATTACGTAATGGAGTGTTAATTTTTAATTCAGTACGAATAAATTGATGACCTTCAATCAATTGATCAATCATATCGAAATAATGTGTAGAAGCTTCATCATTCATCACCCAACCACCAGTAACTAATTCCAATCTATTTTCATTCAATAATTTTTTAATATTTTCTTTCACTTTATTCGATGGTAATCTAAATCAAAAAGTCAAAAAAAAAGAAATCAATAAAATCGTTAAAATTGAAAACTATTGAATGATGAAAAAATAAGCCAAAAAAAATAATCATTGAAAAAAAAATTTACCCATCCCACCAACGTGAAAAGAAAGACATTTCTGCCCATACAAATGTCATGTTTGGATATTTATTTAGATTTTTGACCAGATTTTCCAACACATAATATGTATAATGATAAAAATATTGATCATATGTATTTAACCATCCTGGATCATTATGTGAATTTGGCACAATGATTACCTGTTGAATTGAACAATAAAAAAAACCATTTCATGATGTACTTATTTTCATAATAATATTCATAATTATCTGATGTATTGCACTCGATCATAAATCAATAATGAACATAATGAATGAATAAAAAAAATTCAACTGACCAAATGTTTATTAATAGAAATTATGTTATTACCAAAAAAAAAACATTGTTCCGATAAAAGATTTTATCATCATGACATTATTATTATTCATGTTTTTTGATAAAATTATTAACATTATCATGATGGTTTGGCGTTTTTTTTCTTCTAACCATATATGAATAAAAAATAACTAAATTTATAAATAGCCATAGGTAGTTGTAACTAAATTTAAAGAAGAAAGAAAAATTCATTGTTTCCATCGAAAAATTTCAACATTTTTTTGTGGAAATAAACAAAAAGATAACAACAACAACATCTTATTTGATATATGAATACCGTTACTATCCAGAAAAAAATGATGATAATAATAAAAAAATGGAACATCATCATCATTAACCACCAACCACTGCTGTTGCTACTTGTTTTCATTTATTCATGATATATTCATCATCATCATCATATTTATTTCTGGAAACAATTATGCTAATCATCATTGTTAAAATCATCATTTTGTGACCTTGTCCGAATCAAGGTCACATGTAACAAAGATTGTTTTTACAACACATAAAATAAAAGAATTTCTTTTCTTTTGAAATCAAAAAAAAAAACATACCTTCAATGGAAATCGTGAATGTTGATGAATAAAACGTTGTTCTAATGTTTTGCTCCAGATTTCATTATTATTTGTTGTTGTTGATGATGATTGATTAAAAAGTTTAGTAAATTCTTCATTCATTTTCAATATATTATAATAAGGTAAAGAGGATTTTTTTATCACAGTTTGTTGATGATGATCATTGCTATTGTTGTAATTATTATTATTATTATTATTATCATTTATAAATAATAATGGTGAATAATTTTGACCATACCTGATATATGGTTGAGTAAATGTTGAAAATTTTGCAAATATAAATGAATAAATGAATATTATTGATATGGCCGGAAATAATAGATATAAGAATATTATTCTTGGATTACTACGAGCCATTTTGTTGTTTTCTTTCGTGTTGGATGAATATAATCAGAAACCAAAAAAATCAATTAGGTTGAAGAACAACAACGAAAAAAAACCAAAACGAAAAACGAAAAAATCCAAAACGAAAAAAAATAAAACAAAAACTAATTATAAAATCACTACTATCAGTTCATTGGCATTTTTTTCAATCGATCAATCAATCAATCAATCAATAGATTTTGGAATATGTTATTATCGTGTGTGACAAAAAAAAAGAAAGAAGAAAAGAAATTGTATCGATGTATTTTTGGTTTTGTCGTTGCTGTTGTTTGGTGATTGTTCGAATTTTCGAACCAAACAAATTCCTGATGAACATGATGATTCAGCAATCACCAACCAATTTATTGAATGTATTGAATGTTTAAATATTCAATGATGATTAAACAATTTGAATATATCGAATCAAATGAGAGAAAACGTAATGTGATTGTAACCGTGAAATTTGTTGAATTGGATACGAAGAATAATAATAATCATCACCATCGTTATTTTTAAATTATTCACATTTCATATACCATCAACAAAAACCATTCGATTCGATGTTTTTGTTCAATATTGATTTCACAAGAAGTCATAACAAACATCACACACATTCGAGGACGGAAAACAAACAAACAAAAATACACATTTACAAACAACAACAAAAAAAAAACAAGTTCAAAGTGAATACAACTATATATTATTTTCATAAATGTTTTCTTTCATGGTTTCATCATACGTGATCTTGAAGAATTTTTTTTCAATTAAATGTAATTAACCAACAACAACAACAACAAAAAAACGAATGAATAAAATCAAAACCAAAACGAAAGGATTCACCGTTGCTATTCAGTTATTTCGCTTGTTATTGATGTGACAAATGTTTTTTTTTCTGTTTTTATACATTACTGTTACTGATCATCATCATCATTATCACAAAAAACCACCCGTAACCATTATCTCGAAAAAACAAGATCTTGATTTTTTTATTTTTGGTTTTGGATATCATTTCCAACACACTCAAACATCTAATACATACATTGTTGATTATAATTATTTCAAGTACATTGTCGTTATCGTCATTATTTTATTTTCAATGACTTTTTATTGTTTTTACCGTAAAGGATATTTATATATTTTTTTTTGGATTCCATATGATAAATTGATAAATCGTCGAAAGATTCATATATGATAGCAATGAAACATGATCACAAATTGATGATATTATTAAGCACCAGTATTTTTTTCTCAGTTGAATCAATGGATTTGATTGTTGTTTTGTAAAGAGAGAAAAAAATAAACATTGAAAATTTTTAAAGTCACATTTTCGAACATCTAATGATCTAATCTAAAAGGTGACCCGAAACAGTATTTTTTTGTTCACAGTTTATTAACGAAAAAAAAATATCATTTCCTCACACAAACTAACATATCATACAAAATACACATGATGATCCATGAGGAAAATTTAACTTAAACAAAATAAAACGATCATGATGGACATCCATCAACATTGAACTAAACTGAATGTACTGCAGTTTTGATGAAATCCATGCTGAAATTTTTACGACGAAGACGCTCAACAAACAAACAAACAAGCAAACAATAACTACTACCAAAGCAATGAAAATAAAGTCCAAGAAAGAAAAAGAAAAAATGATTTTCAAAGAGAACTGGAATCTCTATACAGTAACCATTAACAAGTGAATATACAGACATAACAATAATGTTATTGGTAAAATTTCAGAACTGAACATGCACATTTCGGGTTATCGTGATATTCGTTTTATATATTTTTTTTCTGGTTTTTTATTTATTTTGGTTTTTTTTTTTTGATGATTTTTTTTCTCTTTCTCTTTCTCTCTCTCTCTCTCTCTTCATTTTATCTCTACGTTTCTCTCACATTCGATTAGGGATGGCAATAAATATAAAATACAATGGTATAATTTTTCCCCTTGTTAATATTATCATTAATGTAGGTGAAAATTTATTCGTCGTTTCCTTGTTTATATTATGTTCGAAAAAAATGACAAAAAGGCCAAAACAAAACGAAAAAAATGATGAAAACCCGATTTTCAAATCTGTTTGTTTTTATTCATTTGGACAATGAGGATTTTGTTATCAGGTTTTGTGTTTTCTGGTTATAAAAAATGTGTCATTGCTTTCCATATGATAATTTCCGTTTTGTTTTTCCAAAATAAAAAGTAAATTTTATTCAATTTATTTCATTCATTTATCATTTTTTTTAAATACTGAATACAATCCAAATTTTTTTTCTGTTTTTGTCAAATGAAACTATCATTTACAACTTTTTTTTCACAATCAATCAATAATATATGATAAATAGAATGAACAAAAAAACAAAAAAAAATCTACTTTAACTTAAAGAGAAAAAAAAACAATCAATATTATATAATAGAATCAATATGAAACAAAAAAAAATAATTTTTTTTCTTCTCTACATATCATTCAATTCGGAATCCGAAATCAAAACAAAATCTGAATCAGTTATTGATTCAGATGTTGATTCATCAAAATGATTTTCATTCGTTTCATCATCATCATCATCATCATTAATCATAAAACCAAATAATAAATTCTTTTTCGATGTTGTTGAACTTAATAATTCGAGGTTATTGTCGTTTAAATTATTTGAATATTTGGAAGAAATGTTTTTTAATTGCTGTAATTGATGTTCATCATTATTGTCATCATTAAGTTGTTGTCCCTCGTTTTGATAATGTTCATCGTCACCATTATTATTGAATACGATTGTTGTCAATGTATTTTTAGGCGCAATATGTGCCAAAAATCCGGGTGTTAAAAATAGTATTATAGCTGAATATATATTACATGTGTATTTGACAATCAAGAGAAGAAAAAACAAAACAATAAAAATTTAGAATATAATGAAGAAGAAAAACAAATCATACCTGTCAAATATGTGATCAAAACACCGGGAATGAAATGTCCAATATAATAGAAACAAAGAAAAAATAACACTGAATAACAACAAAATATACCGTGAGATTTTCTTCTAAATTCAATTATTCGTTCAATGACATTTATTATTGATTTTTTTATTCGAGCAAAACATAATCTGATTTCTGGAACACACATTACATTAGGATTGACAGTCGTCCAACTAAATGATTATTATCAAAATGTGATATTAGATTTACAATTGTTTTTATATTACTACACATACCTTTCTTTGATTGGAACCGTGGGAGCTTTATTCATTTTGTATAAATCGAAAATAAAAATTAGAAATAAACAAAACAAGGTGTTAATGTGAAAAAAAATTACCACGAATTTCTGGCCAAACAAAACGAATCCACATTTCATAAAAATGATAACAGAATGCTAAAGTTGCCACAACTGATATTAATCGTGGTTGCAATAATACGAACATCCTTTCAAATGATAAATTAATGATTAGATAATTGTAAAAAACTTTATTAATATTTTTTACCAATAAAAACATGTAAAGAAGATCAATGCTAAAATTGAATCGCGTGGTTTCTCCCATATTAGAATACCTTGCAATGCAATCAATTGAGATTCGAAATTCGAGATCAAACTGAACGGTGGTGGTGATTGTTGTGAATTTTGATTTTCATCATTATTCAATGATGGAATATGATTACGAAATAAATTTACACCAAAAAATGATTGTACACTTGACAAATTAATTCTATGAACAAAATTTTCAATTTTTTTATTAATCAAATTTTTTACTTCCATTATTAGAATTATAATCTCTTGTGATTGGCAAGACTAGAAAGGTGGACTTAAAAATTCATTGCTCAAATCCACAACACATTAAATTATAATGAATGAACTTGAATGATGACAACAAAAAACAACAAAAATTTCATTTGGCAGCAACGTAAAAAAAATATTTTTTCATTTATTATTATTATTATTATTCGCATAAATGTTTTGATCTTGTTGACAATGTCTTTAGTTTTTATTTGTTTGTTTGTTGTTTTGTTTTGTTTTGTTTTGTTTTGTTTTTCATCATATATTTTGGCATCATCAACATCAACATATACACAAACACACACAGAGATATTGCGCATAGAACCTTTTTCATTCATGATAAATAAAAAGGGAAAACAGAGCCATAGTAAAAAAAACAGAGAGTTAACATTTATGCTGACAACAGTTTTTTTTTTCAAGGCAAAATCATATGATTAACAGAAACGCAATAATAATCACATAATAACAAACACACCGTCATGCACATTGAGTGATTTTTTTTCTTCTTCAATCGCGGGATTGCCTTTTGTTATGAAAACGTCGTCACATGCATGCAAATAAATATATCCAACATACGATGTTTTCAACGATTTCAATTAGGTCCATCTATATATCTGAACGATGATATCAGACACATACATTATTAATATATAGATAGGAAAATCTTGCGCACAAATTAAAAATCCGAAAACAAATCAAATAACAAAGTTCAAATTTTGCACAAAAAAAAAGTTTCATACATGATGATTATTTACGATTAAGATGATGATTGTGATGGCTGTCAATCTGATCGGCAATACCATAACAACCTTTTAAAAGGCGACAATATGGTAATGGTTCTTTAGGAAAACTGAATGCTCCATCAATATCTGTACCATAAATCATTGGTAAACGTAATACCCAATATGTTGATTGTGTTAATCGAATTGGTTCTTTGTTGCCCAGATAAAACAAAAGACTAGCATTTGGCGTAACCTGAATCATAGGATTTAAAGTCACATTGATTGGAGCTTTCGGTGTGACAATATGAATTCGCATCAATTGTGCAACACATGGTTTAGATGAACGACTTGAAATATTGAAGAAAAAAAATCATTTTTGTTCATAAGTTTCAATATGAAAATAAGATTGAAAAACATACCTGCAAACACAATGCATATACAATGGCATATCATTTTTTGCAATTGATTCGGCTGTTTCTCTAAATTTGTATGTATTAGTCTTAAGAATTTGATCCGGTTTCGATGCAATAAATCGATGACCATTAAAACATTCATATTCAACACCGATGAAAATTTTCACAGTAAATTGTGTACCATCTATGCATAAAAATATAATTATTCACAAAAATCTTGATGTAACCATCAATTGAAATTAAATTACCTTTTACATTTTTCTTATGTTTGATACCGGGAGGTCGCTTACCTTCCCACAGCGGTGGCATATTTCTCCAATGTTGTAAAATAACCGTAACATTCCATGGTAACAAATAATGAGAACCTTTGACGAATCCTTGTTGATCTTGTATGCCAAGATTATGTGAATAGATACTTGACGAACCAAAACAAACCAATGACCAAGAAGCAAAGCGAGCAGGTAAATTATTGTCTACACCCAACAATGTATGTATCATTGTCGGTAATGTTTTCAAATCGATTATCTCTTTAGCTGAAGATGAAGTTGTTGGAGAATGTTGTTCTTTAAGAAATTCTTCATCATCTTCGTCTTCACTGAGAAATTCTTTTTCATTAGAAAATTCTTCATCTTCTTCTATATCATCTGATGATTGAGATTCACCATATTGTGAACTATCATTTTTATAATCGACCGATCTTTCATTTGATTCATCATTTTCATTAGATCTTGAATGTTTAACATCATCGATGGCACTGAAATCATGATCATCATTATTTGATGAAATAGAATCTTCATTATTTGAAAGATTATCGATACTCAATAATATATCATTCTGTTGAGTTTCAACAGAATCTTCGACATCTGCATCATTCTTGTCATCAATATCTTCAGATGCTACTTGAGATAATACAGTATCGTTGAATGTTTTCATAACTGGACTATCACGCAAATTTTCACTTTTTGTTCCAGTCATATTCTGACTAGAACTTAAATTCTCCATCTCAATATTCGAGTCGTACACATGAAATTTATATCTTGCAATATTACGGCATGTGTGACATTTGTATCGCATTTTAAGATAAAAATCATAGTTTGCCGCTTTTATTGTAAATGGATCTTCGCGATTACTTTGACGACGACCACAATCACAAGCGGAAATTATTTTCACCATACTGTTATGTGGCATTACTGGAACATTGTTCTGGTTAGATTCAGCTGCAGATCCTTCTGTTTCAGATAAAGGCTGGTCAGTACAATAGTCATCATGTGGTAATCGATGAATTTTATTGACACAATGATTTCCAGTCAGACTTAACTCTTCACACATTTTATGTCCATTGGTCCAATATGACGTACATTCATTTTGAATTATTTTGATGTATTTGTAGATAGCTGGACCTCTTGATTGCATAGTAAAATGTTGTAGTGTTAACAATAATTTTCGTTCATGAGTTTCGCGTGTGTAATGGGACGGTAAATTATCCTTGTAGTAATTGACAGCATTTGATACCATTTTGGAACATCTACTTTCGGAAAAACGATTATCGATGTCCAATGTTGAATGAAGTGAATCTAAAATCTTTTGCAAATTTTTTGTTTTCTCACTGCTAATGCCTGAATATGTTTGTTTAAATAAAAGCTCTTTGAATGCTATGAATAATTTGAAAAATGTTTTCACTTTGATTAATTCATTAGATTTGACAGAATCTTTGGAATTTTTCACAAGAGAATTGATGTGAGGAAGAATGAAATTTGAAAATGGCAAATTTTCTTGGACCATCTGTCGATATTGAAGTGAACAGTTTTGATCATTACCAAAATTATCATTCAAACAACGATTTAAAATATTTTCGAAAAAATATTCATCATAATTGATTATTGTTGATGTTTTAGTAACGATAAAAACAAACGAATTCAATGATGGAATAGTAAACAACGAATTGATTAGTCGAGTTTTACGAAATAGTTTGACAATCTGTTCTTCAAGTTGTTTAACATAGAATTTGTTATTTGATTCCGTTATATAATCATATCCATCATATGCTTCAAAAATGAATAAAAGTTGTGGCATAAACATGTTTTTCATAATATTGTTTGAAATCTTATTGAAAGAGCTAAACATTTCCGAAACAAATGGTTGTAATTTGATTTTAGTCGAATCAATTATTCTTAACATGTTGATGCAACCAATATCGAATCGAGGCGAGGGGTTTGTTATAATGACGATATTACTAACGTAGAAAATCAAAAGTATTGATTTATACAGATCGGTCAGCAGATCAGGCCACATGGTAAGGAAGCCCTGAACAAAATAATTAATTTTTTGTTTGTTTGAATAAGTAAAAATGTTTTCATTAACCTTTTCAATAAATTGTTTTTCCAAATTTTCAAAAATATCAAGTACGGCACATGTATCTAAAATTGATGTCAAATGAAGAAGAATCATTCGGTTGTTTACATCATAATATCCATCGATTTGTACAAACTAATGAAAAAAAATATTATCGGTTAATATTGTAAAAAAATGGCTGAAGATCGTACATCATCTTTAAATAATAAGGTTTCATCATGAAGTTTAGAATTGAACAAACTTTGTCCAATCCATTCGGGTATACAAGTGGCTTTGGCATTGCAAGATTGTAGAGCCGATTTACCAATGATTGAAACAATAGAAACACGATCAGATTTATCCGAAATCGATTGATCTTCAATAAATTTCATAACATTCCTAATTTGAATATAATTAAAAATAAAATGAAATTATTTTTATTTTTCCACTCACTTCATACTAGAATCTTCAACTGAGAAGAGAGAAAAAGTTTTTGAAGCAGTGACATAATTTGGCTTCGAATCATCTAAATCAAGCTGTGAATTCATCAATGAATCTAAAAATTTAGTTTCCGATCCCGACTTCATGCCTGATGATTGTTGTTGATAATTTTTTTTTTGTTGTATACATGCGAAATGAAACACTATTGGAACCCAATGAATCCGATCAAGTCGTTACAGAAATTTTTTTTTTTTTTGCACATGAGCTTTTTTGGCGCCCTAAACTTATAAGTTGCCATCATTTTGAACAAGGCCAAATTATCTATTATCTAACAAATCTATCTTTCATTGTGGTTACTTAAGCTAACACTTATAAATATTTTAAGCCATTTTTTTGTTTGTCACGGAAAAAAAATCCACTTTTAAAAGTAGTTAATCGATGGGTGATAGAATAGAAGTTTTATGATGATAATATTAGTCACATGATCAATAATTTTGGAACAAAATGATGCTATATATCTCGATGATTTGTACCAAAATCCAAATGGCATTGAATAAAAAAAAATGATAATACCATAGGCTATATATATTGTGATACAATGTTTCAATATTACATATACGCATACCCAATATGGTTGCTATTGGGGGCATTCACCTTGAATTCTGAATGTAAAAGGGAATGTTATATTTGTTGATTCATTAATACAGATATTGAAAAATGAAATTAAATTCCCCCTTCATTGAATCGAGACACCGCCTAGACACGGTTTCTTTGTTGGTACTCACTCACTTTATGATGTGAATCGTTTTTGGTTCTCTAGATATAAAGGCCTTGCTGAATTAATGTTTCAAAATAAATGTCAAGAATAAAATGCGATAGTTGAAGATACTTTTCATAGAACAGACAGAAATTATTGTAGACAAATAAATTTCCTATAGAAGAAAAAAGGTGCTTGCTTGGTCATGTTACCATGGAAAAATGAAAATCAGACATTAAAACAGTCAGTCTTGAATCATCGAACCACAAAAATTTAGTTTTCATTTTTGAATGGTTCAAGTAACACGTTTCCACCTTTCTTCATTGACTACGGAAATTGATGTCCAAACAAAACTGCCAACACGATTCAAATGATGGAAAATTTGACAGGAAGCAGGGATAATATTTGCCATAAAACCCAGATGAATTTTGAAGATACTGAACACATTTTTACAGTGTTTTCGGCGATGAACGAAATGCGAAAAATTGGACAACTGTGTGATATTACTTTGGAAGTTGCGGGAACAAAAATCCTTGCTCACAAAGTGGTTCTGGCTGCCAACAGTGCATATTTTAATGCAATGTTTAATTGTAAGTAATGATTTGAAAAAAAAATTTTCCTTTCCTAAGTCAAGTTTGGTATCTTTAGCTGAAATGATGGAAAAAAGCATGTCGCACATAGAAATCGGTGAAATCGATCCAATTGCAATGAAATTATTAATCGAATTTATTTATACGGGTCAATTGACCATCACCGAAGCGAATGTTTTGAATCTATTACCAGCTTCAAGTTTATTACAATTAATAATTATTCGTGAAACATGCTGCCAATTTCTTCGAAATCAATTACAACCGTCCAATTGTTTGGGCATAAGAAAATTTGCTGATACTCATAGTTGTCAAGAGCTTCAAGTTTGTTCGCTTAAATATGCTCTCGATAATTTTCAAGAAGTTTCATTGACTGAAGAATTTTTATCACTTTCATACGAAGACATAATTAGTTTAATTTCGGATAATCATTTAAATGTGGCCGATGAAGAAACTGTTTACGATGCAACTATTCGTTGGATTAAACATGATTCTAAATCAAGAGAAATACATTTCTCCACCCTTTTAAGTCATGTAAGACTTCCATTGATTGAACGAAATTTTTTGATCAATCAGATACTCGTTGAACCATTTGTTCGTGAGAATAATCAAGCTAAAGATTTAGTCATTGAAGCCATGAAATATCATCTGAGTTTCGAAAATCGATCGGGCAATTCTCCTCGAACACAACATCGTAAACCGGATGGTTTGACAGAATTTATCTTTGCTATCGGTGGTGGTTCACTTTTTACCACACATAACGAATGTGAATTTTTTGATCCAAGAGATAACACTTGGCTCGAATTCACGCCCACTAATCAACGAAGATCTCGAGCTGGTGTAGCCTGTCTGAACAGATATATTTATGTTATTGGTGGTTATAATAATGGATCAAAAACATTGTCTTCTGTAGAGTTTTTTGACCCATTGACAAATGTTTGGACTGATACAACTGCAATGGGAACCAAACGTAGTTGTCATGGTGTTGCCGAACTAAACAACATTATTTATGCCGTCGGTGGATATGATGGTAGCTGTAATTTTCAAATTCACTTAATTATTTTATTGAAAAAAATGGATTTTTTTTTCTAGGAATCAACTGCTTGAGCAGCGCAGAACGATTCGATCCTTTAATGTCTGCTTGGTTTTCCGTTAATTCATTGGAAATTAAACGTCGTTATACTAGATTGATGGCATTGAATGGCAGTCTATATGTGATTGGAGGATTTGATGGCGCTAATCATTTAGCTTCAGTTGAACGTTATGATCCAAGGGTATTTATTAATATTAACTTATTATTCATATTTTAATTTCGATTAATATTATTCTCTTTTTTTCAAATAATCACAGGAAGGAAAATGGATAGCAGTAGCACCGATGTTAAGCCGAAGAAGTAGTTGCGGTGCATCAGTTTTGGATAACAAAATTTATGTTGTCGGTGGCAATGATGGAACATTGTGCATGTCTAGTGCCGAACGATATGATCCGATACGAAACGCTTGGGAAAATATATCATCAATGCAAAATCGACGAAGCACTCATGAATTAGTCGAAATAAATGGATTACTTTATGCTCTAGGCGGAAATGATGGTAGTAATAGTTTAAATGCAGTTGAATTCTATACACCTGAAGATAATAAATGGTCAATGACTAATTCAATGATTTTACGACGAAGTGGTCTAGGAGCTGTTAAACTTGAATGCTGTGATCTTCGAAATTCATTAATCGAATCGTCCAATTTGGAAAAGTCTTCGCCATATTCTTCCCTTATTTCAACAAAATCTTTGGATCTTAATTTCAAAGAAAGTAGTGTTAGTAGCAATGATGATAAACCAATTTAATTTAAATCAAAAACTTTATAGAGTGAGATAGAATTCTCGCTAAATGCACAAATTACGAAGTAAAAAATCAAAATTGGATTTTTTTATTTATATTTTTACTGTAGAAAAAAAAAATCTAACAAACTCTTTATTTTTGTAGCTATTGATTGATTTAGAATAATAAACAGAATTGATATTTTTTTTTTCAATTACATTATTTTGCAAAAATATCTGACTAAATTATGATTATTTATTTTTTGCCTTGAATTTCGGACGGTTTGATATCGAAATCTCTGCTTGCAATGTTCAATAACAATGATTGGGCATCCAGATAAACTCGGTTCTGCGATTGTGAAATCGTTTCGGCAATGTGTTGAGCAGCACGAATTTTTCTCAATTTTAGATAACCTGGATTCTTGGAAATGGCATCACCTAAGTAAAATTGGGGAGAAAAAAAACAGAGCTCAGGAAAATAAAAATTCAAATGATTTGATTTGTTAGTGAAGCAAACATGGTCATCAGATTACTAAAGAAATAAAAAAATCATTTTTGATTAAATCCAATTCGAATGTTTATCAATCTAGTTCAACAACCAGGATAAGAATGAATCATATATAACTATGAATACATTCCCCATCCAAAACCATTTGGTCAAGATTGATAATTTTTTTTTTGTAGTCTGCCCTTTACAGCATTAAAATTGATTATACATCCTACAGTTTTAACGCCAAGATATCAGACCTCAAATCAGATATGAAAAAGCTATGAAAAAAATGCCATTAAAGTTCATCATAAGACCATTTGAAAATAAAAATTATTGAAAATAAAAATTTGTCATTATTGTGAAAAGGATATCATTCGAGCGGCTTCGGCTTCACCCTCAGCTTGTACAATTTTTTGTTGTTTTTCCTGTATGGCTTTTTCAACTAAAAATTGGGCACGTTGAGCTTCTTGTTGGGCAACTTGTTTAGCTTCGACAGCATGTGAATATTCTCGGCCAAAACTCAATTCGGTAAGAGAAACATCGTCCAGAATAATATGAAAATCTTTTGCACGATCAATTAATTGTTTACGAACCAAAAGCGATACTTGTTGACGTTGAGTAATCAATTGGGAAGCATTAAATTTAGCCACAACACTTTTTAAAACTTCATTACAAATTGAAGGCAAAACACGTTCATCAAAATCTGTTCCCAAAACCCGATATATATGTGGAAGTTTTGAAGCATCCGGACGAGCTAAAACACGCAATGATATATTAACCATTTGTAAATCTTTACTACCAGTAGGTGAAGAATATTGTTGCGGCTTTGATCGAATATCATAAATTACAGGCCATTGAAACCAAGGAATGCTATTAGGTACAAAAATTAATTTTAGCTCATGTTTAGAGATTTTTTTACTTACCGAAAATGCAATCCTTCAGCATAAACACCTTGTTGAACACCGCTAATACGGCTAAAAATTATAGCTCGATGACCACCATCAACTAATCGAAATTACATAATTTTATCATTCAACGAAAAAATTTTATTAAAATTTGTACAAACCTGTATAAACTGATTGAGTAGCAGCATAACCAAGACCACCAGCGGCTAACAATAATTTGGCACCAAGACCAAGACCAGATGGAGCCTTACCACCGAATTTTCCCATGAAATCACCAAGTTTTTCAGCCATGATAAATGAAGATTATTAAATGAAAATTGGAACGGGCAAAAAAAAAAATTGTCAAAGGACAGAATGTGAAATGCTTCAAGATGTGATGAAATTGAGAACATGTGTTCTTCAAATAATGTTCAAATAGAACGTATCACGAAGAAAACATGCCCTTTTTTTTGGCAAAATTAATTTTTCATTGATTTTTTAAAAATGGCATCCTTATTAAAAATGCGATTTTTGATTCCGAAAGGATTTTTGAATTCAACTGTAAAATTTTTAAGCAGTAATTCATCTGCTGTTGCAAGTACATCCGAACAAGAATCAACCGATTTGACCAAATTAAGTTCGGAAGAAATCAATAAACGATTAATGACTTTTTTCGATGTTCCTGAAAATTGGACTAAAGGAGAGGTTAAATCTGGTAAAATAAATTGATAGATTAATCGATTAAAATAATTAATTATTTATTTAAATAGGAAGAGGTTGGCGAATCGAAGAACTTCGTATCAAGAGTAATAGTGATTTACATAAATTATGGTACATATTATATAAAGAACGAAACATGTTGATGACAATGGAACAAGCTGCTAAAGATGAAGTAGAAAATATGATTAGTCCAGAAAGATTGTTCAAAGTGGAAGATGGTATGAAAAATATTGAAGAAGTTGTAAAGGAAAGAAATCGAGCTTATTGGCAGCTTGAAGTTGGTGACAGTAATCCGGTTGAAAGACGTAGAGTTTTTCGTCGAGATTTATTTGGCCGTTGGCGAATGATTGCCTCTTCCGAACATCTTATACCATATTGGATGAACAATGAATGGAGAAAATTTAATGCTCCCGGTTTTGGTGCCGATGTTATCAATTTTAATCGACGTCTTAATGAAAATCGATTAAAACGACGAATATCACAATTATCTAAACAACAATTCTATTGTCAACAATTATTGAAACGATTTCCAAATATTGACATTGATTATTTACAAGAACGTTTTCCGGAAATCAATATCAAACATTTAATGGATAATAATAATGAATATACTATTCAAACTCGAACTGCTCGATTTAATCAAATTTTTTACCATAAAAAGAAAGATCTTTGAATAACATTGTTTTTTATTTAATGTTCAATCTTCTGTATAGTTATTAAACAAATTGTATCATTAATTGTTATTAATAAAAAATATTAAGATGAATTTTTTTTTTCTTCTTTTAATTACAAAAAAGAATTTCAGTTTGTTTACTGAAATTAATCAAGAGTAAAATGTCACAAAAAAAAATGTTTTTTGCAAATGATTACAAAAGACTATTTATGGCGATGATTATGATGATGATGATGATGATGATGAAGATGATGATGATAATGATTACAAAATTGATTAATCAAACATTATCCATTATCCAAGCACCACAATAATTATTCAAACCTATCAATGCTTTTGTATGTTTTATCACTGTTTCGATTGCCACTTTTTGAGTACCTGAACTAAGATTGACTATGGCATTATTTAAACGTTGACAAACGGTTTCACGATCTAAATGATTTAGATATTTAGTTGCTTCGCTAGGATCAGAGAATGCAATAAAAAACCATGCTTCTTCTAACATTTTCTTATTGATTTCTTTTGATGCTGAATCGGCATCCAATTTTTGTGCCAAAGAATTCAATTCTTTACCAAACATTAAAATCATTTTGAAACGATCAACGTTATCATTAGACGAATGAATATTATTTGATGTATGATTTACATCATTATTATTATGTACCGAATTATCTTCCAATTGATTGGGGAAATTGCTTGGTAGATCTTCATTATCATCAGAATTAATGTCTAGGTCCATTTTTATTTCTGAATTTCCATTACAATCATTTCCATTGGCCGAAAATGGAAGATCATCGTTTCCACATACAAATTCAATAAATTGTCGACATTTCAAAGCGAATAAAAGATTATGATCATCTTGTAACACTGTTGGATAAAGCCGATTTGTTGTTTGTATAGCTTCACCGATTTTACCACTCAATACTAATTGCTGTATTTTGAGCCTTTGTTTTACATTCTGAATGTTTTCGACAAATGGAATTTGGGTATATTCCGAGAAGACTTGTGCTGTGGAACAATAGCCATTATGTATGAGCCATGATTGTACCAAATTATGAATCATTGGTTGCCATTCAGTGTGATTCACTGGGAAAAGATTTATAGAGGTTGTCACCTTATTTCTTAACTTGAATATATCTTGTTCGATATCGTAACAAAATGGCTTGATACCGAAATTCGCTTCCAATTCTTCACCAGGCGTTTGAAGGCCAACTGTTGGAAACAATGGTACTTGAGGCAAATCCACAAAAGCAACTCCAAGATTATGGCCATTTTTAGTGTAGAAACAAAGATTTTTGATTAGATTATAGCCACAACCGATTATATCACCTGTGGTGAATGTAGGTCCATAAGGTTGACCAGTACCGGAGCTATTGAATGAATGGCCATCATCACCGTGATAACCGTATGACTGTTTGTCCCAACCAGGTAAACGTTGCATATTAACACCTTGAGCTGCCAGACCAATACCCATGTATCCATCCCGACCTTTTGAAACGATTTTAACTTCATAATAATAAAGTAGACAGGAAAGAGGTATAGGATTCGAAGCTCGAATAGCGGCAGCATCTTTATGCGTTTTACCCACACCTTTATAAAGAACTTTTAGGCCATCTTCCGATAATGTTATATAATTGGCTTTATCTTTGGAAGACCATTGCTTCGGTATTTGATCTAGATCGGTATATGGATAAAGTTTTTTCAGCCGAGCAATCTGTTCAGCATTAAGATGATTGGGCATATTGACAGGTGATGATGATCGAGATGAAGATGAATCCATTATCACCTCTCTTACCAAAGGATTATTCGACATTCAAATTTTTTTTTTGAGATTCTTTATGAAAATTAAAACTCAAAAATATTGACTAAATGATGGAATTATTGTTATTATTAGAAAAAAAAATTCCAAATTATCTAAATACGCTTAATGATGAGAATGGTTAACAACAAGAAGCGTAGCTGTCTATTGTTCCGAGTATTTTTTTTCCCTTCTTATTGACTGCTACTTTCTTGCATTCGATAATGATGTCGTTGCTGGTGATTTTGATGCAATTTATGCATATATAGATTTTATGAACGGTTTTCAAACTTCGCTGAATCATTTTCATTTGAGTTGTTTTTTCAATTTTTTTTTTTGATTATTTTTTAAAAAGGTCTTAATCTTAAACTTTCAATCGTTTCATTCGTAATCAAAAATGCCTGCTGAAAATCTTGAAGATGAAAGTTTAGCTAAAAATCCAAATTTGGAATTAGCTCAATGGCTTTTTTTATTGACCATCGAAGATAATGCGGCTATTCGACAGAATCTTATGGATGCCATTGTTCAAAATGACATGGCACCTTTCTATAAAATGGTTAGTTTTTAACATTTTTTATTCATAAATTGTTTATAGAATTATTTTTTCCAAAAGGTTTGTGAAACTCTAAAATGGCCAATTAACGAAGAACTTTATGAAAAAATGAAAAAGAAAAATGATGAAAAAATTAAAGAATTTGATTTTGCTATCGAAGATGCGGAAAAAAATCTCGGTGAAATGGAAGTTCGTGAAGCTAATCTTGCCAAAGCTGAATATTATAGTTTGATTGGCGATAAAGAAAATACAATGTCTGCTTTTCGAAAAACATATGATAAAACAGTGTCGTTGGGACATCGTTTAGACCTATTGTTTCACATTATTCGTATCGGTCTTTTTTATTTGGATCATAAATTAATTGCTACCAATATTGAAAAAGCGAAAGAACTCATTGAAGAAGGTGGCGACTGGGATCGTCGAAATCGATTACGTGTCTATCAAGGTTTTTATTGCATCACTATTCGTGATTTTCAACAAGCTGCATCACTTTTTTTGGACACAATTTCGACTTTCACTTGCTATGAACTTTGTGATTACAAAACTTTTGTAGCCTATACTGTCATTACTGCAATGATTTCTTTGCCCAGAGTTCAACTCCGAAAAAATGTCATCAAAGGTGCTGAAATCCTGGAAGTACTTCATGGTAATCCTGAATTGCGAGAATTTTTATTCTCGCTATACGAATGCAATTATAGTAAATTTTTTGAAAAACTTTGCTGGATCGAATACTTTATGAAAAAAGATCGATTGTTTCAGCCACATTTTCGATTCTACATTCGCGAAATGCGTATCCTTGCCTATAATCAATTATTGGAATCGTATCGAAGTTTGGAACTTAAATATATGGCCGATGCTTTCGGTGTGACTGTCAATTTTATCGATCAAGAATTGGCTCGTTTTATCGCTGCTGGAAGACTTTTTTGTAAAATCGATAAAGTCAACGGTATTGTCGAGACCAATAGACCGGATGCAAAAAATCATCAGTATCAAGCATGCATTAAACATGGCGATATTCTATTAAATCGAATTCAGAAATTGAGTCGAGTTATCAATATATAAAAGGGACACATTGAAAATATTCTTTTATCTAAAAAATAAAATATCCTTTTCAAAAGATATACAATATTTAATATATTTATTCAGAGTGAGAATGAAAGAGAGAGAAAAGAAACAATCTTTGAATTTTTTCATTTATCACAGTGGTGATTTTCGAAAAGAAAAGAATTGGCGTTTGGCCAGCTTTGAAATATGATATTTTGTTTTGGCTATCATTCCATACCAAAAAAAAAAAATACGAAATTACTGATGACTGTTTCGTTTGATAATCTGGACGGTTCTATTCTGGTCATGAGATTGTTGAATATTCGAATTGTTGTTGGCTTTTTTCAAAGCTTTTAATGCTCTATTTACAATGAAAGAATCTTTTAGCCATTCTTTTGCTTGATCAGGATCGGATTTTTCTTTCAAAAATGATGTTAGCGTAGTTGATGATGATGATGATGATGTTTGTGATGGCTCAACAATTGAAGTAAAAAATTCATTCATATCATATTGATAGTCATTCGTATGAATTTCCATTGATTCTCGATTTTGTTTATTATTATTATTATCAGTAGTATCCATGCATTTCGACAATAGTACTTGTTGGATAGTTTGATCGACTGATGTCGAATTCATCAAACTAGATTGTGGTTGTTGTTGCTGTTGTAGAATACTAACCTGATTAGTACCATTATGAACAATACCAATTATTTGACAATTATTATTAATCAATTGAGTAGGTTGATGATTTAAAATAGTTTCATTTCGATCATTCATCGCTATTCCTGCAAGTATAGCCTGTGCATTGATATTATTGTCCAAAGCAATGATTTCGCATTCTTGTTCTTCTTGAGGTTGTTGTTGTTGTATAACTTCTTCATATTCAACATTATTAGCTGAAATTAATAATGAATAGAAATTTTTAATCAAAATGTTTCAATTATAAACTATATAACTTACCTTCAAATGGAGAATCGATTGAAGAGTTATAAAATAGTGGATTATTTGTCGATGCAACCTGTAAGCTTAGATTAGGTTGACAGATATTCGGTGAATTTTGTTGTTGTGGTATTAATATGCATTCATTTTGATTTGCTATCAATATTGTTGTCGGTACTAAAACACTGACATTAGGAAACGTTGCTGCGGCTACCTGATATGATCCAACCAAATCGTTGTTTGTTGGCAAAATCATTTGTACAGGTTCAGCGACTGTCGTTTTTTGTACAAAAGTTGGTGAATGATGATCATTCATCAAACCATTTGATACTTGTAGATTTTGTGCAGGTAATAAAACAATCTGTGCAGTTTGTGACATTGTGTTATTTAAATGATCTTGTTGTTGTTGTTGTTGTTGATTAGTGGGACAATTATAATATTCAACATTCAAATGATTTTCTTCGTTATGATTCATAGGAGGATTAGAGGCAATCAAAGTGATTCCATAAGGATTAGAAATCGTTGCTGTTGTAGGAATTTGATGCAGTTGTTGTTGTTGATGATTATTTTGTTGATGACGATGATTATGATGATGATGATGATGGCCAATATAACGATTATTTGGCATAATATAATCTAATACAAATTATTCGACGACGACTTTATTGTTGTCGATGATATTTCGAATATAAATTCATTCATCGATATAACTAAATAGAATTTTAGAAAAAAAATCATATAAAAGTAAAAGTTGAAATAAGGAAAAAAATTTTGATTTAGATTTTTTGTCAATAAAGCCAAAATACTCACATTTACATGAGGCGACCGGATTTTGAATGAACAAAAATTTATTTTCAAAAAAAATCAATTAATTCTTCAACAACAATTAACAAAAACCAGAATATATAACAATTATATTCATTATTATCATCATCATCATTGATTCAATAAAACTCACAAAAACAATGAACATGACATCGCTTTTGTATTCTGATTAAGTGTGTATTCTTTTTTCTTTTTTTTTTGTTTCAGATGTATATTAATTACATGATGATGATGATGACTTATGAACACTTGATAAATTTTGTTTTGTCTCTTTATTTCTCTATTTTATTTTTTTAATCACCAACACACAAACAGAAAAACTATAAATACATCCCCACAATATTTTTCTTTAGTTCTAAAACACTGTCACATTATTAGGAAAATTAACAAATTTTTATTTATTTGTGTTGTTGATTAGAAATGAGAAATGAGTTACAACAACAAAAAAATGAGCAAATGTATCAATATCATTGAATATTATCCATTTAGTATATAAACAAATATACAACAAACAAACGAAACAAAAAACTAGGCGCCAACCAATATACATATAATAATGATAATAATTTTTTTTCTCGCTAAAATTTTTTCTTCAAAATCAATTTTGAATGACTGATAAGTGATAATGCTTCTATATTCTGCTAATATAGATTTCTATATATATTCTATCCATTTACATGTATATATGCAAGAAGCGAGCTCGCAAAGCAGCATATTCCATATGTTGTATACACATGTTGTTTTCGTCGTATACAAATGTGCTACTTCTTTTTTTTCAAATTTTAATTTCTTTTTTTTGTTGAAATAATCATTGTGAGAAAATTGAAAAATCTTTTCCCCGTATAGTGATTTAGGAAAAAAACGTTAAAAGATCGAAAAAAAATCAGATAAAATGTCACCACTTAAAGGTAATCATCATATCATGAATATAATTTCATAATTATCAAATGTTTATATTGTTTCAAGAATTATACAATACAAATTATGAAGATTTACCGACTCTTGATTCTGATTGTATGGATTACAAAAATGATGGCGCTTCGTTTCAACTTCCCGAAAAGATTGGTCATTTTTCCTCTGATTTATGTAAAAAAACTCGATCTAGAGAGATGCGATTCGATGAATCTAATTTATCATATCTTCATCTACCTCAGTCATGCGATTACATCTCTTTAGATTTAACCGAAGGATATAATCATTTTAAACATATCAATTGGTCGAATGCTAGCCTTGATAAATTGGATGAAATGCTTAAATGGATTTTAAAAAATCGCCGTTCCTTGGAAAGAGGTGATCAAACCAAACCGTTAGATTTCGATTTCATCACTCAAAGAGGAGTGTTTACACGAATTATGTGTACACCATTTGTAAACGATGAATGGCATATTGGATTTTCTAAATTCAAAGGAACAATTTATATATGTCCATTTTTCAATGATCATGATGAAAATGAAAGAAATTTTCAACGTTTAAATATGGCTTCTTATGGTGGTTATCGATTTGAACATTATATAACCAAGTCCAAATATGAGGATACATATAGTAATTGTGATGATTTTTCTTCAACATTACATGAGTATTCGGCTGTACTCAAATCGAAAATCAATTCTATTAATAATCCGAATGGATATTCATTATTATATGTAGCCGAAGTAGATTGTTTGAAAGAAAATGAAACAGATTCTTCTCGTATGGAAAATTTTGTCGAAATAAAAACGACAAACAAAATTGATAGTCCTATACAGAATGATAATTTTCATCGTCATAAATCATGTAAATGGTGGGCTCAAAGTAAATTGGTAGCAATTGATCGAATAATTTGCGGATACAAAGAATATAATCTTACTACGGTTACATCGATTGAAACAATGAATGTTGATAGTATTGCACAACAAGCATTTAGATTTTGGAATCATAAAAATTGTTGGAATTTTTTGGAACATTTTTTATCATTGGCACAGAATTTATTGAAAAATGAAAATGATCCTTCTAAGGTTTATTTGTTTAGTAAAGAACGATATTCAACAATTATCACATGTAAAAAATTGCTACATTCTGGTAATCTTTGCATTATTCCTGATTGGTATACAGATGTTTTTAAGGATATGAAAATTAATCAAAAGAAAAACGAATCAAATGTGAAATGAATACGATCAGTATAAGTATTTTTGAAAATATTAGTATTTTACATCCGGAACAATGTGGTTCATTTGCATATTCACCAATACATGTTGAAAATTCCATCAAATGAGCTACGTATGTTTGTTCTTGACTTCCTCTTAATAAATTTGATCCTGGTCCCGTTCCAAAAGCACCTATATATTATTATTGAGAGAAAAAAAATCACATTAATCCATTATTTGTATATAAAATGTATCCACATTTCAAAATAATTTAATTTACCAACATCATCGCCACCATGTGTAGCACTATCTAATGGTACGGCCGATAATTGTTTATAATCAGGTTGTTCTATTTTTGGAATATTGATAAAAATTATTTAAAAAAAAATTAAAATTTTAAATACAAATTTTCAAAATTATTACTGATTTGTTCTTTTGTAAATTCTCTTGAGCTATTATATCCAGGTCCGGTTGAATAAATTAAATTGGTAAAATTTTTTCCTTCTTTATCGGGATAACTACTGAAACCAAAAACATCTTCGGTAAATAAGGCATTACCACTATGTGTAAAACTATGCGAATGATCTGCTGTGACTATCATCAATGTTTCTTTATTTCCAAGTATTGATTGTGCTTTCATAATTGCATTTTCAAATGCCAATAGATCATTTAATGAATAATATGCTTGATTTAGGTGATGAGCTTTATCGATTTTGGCTCCTTCGACTAACAATAAGAATCCTTTTTGGTTCTTTTTTAAAATTTTCACAGCTGCTTCTGTCATCTCTGTTATTGTTGGTTCTGTTTCACTGGAATCATTTTTTAATTCTTTATGAAATTTCATATGGCTGCTGCTGAATGATCCAAACAGATAATCAATTTTGTTATAATCAGTAGCTAACAATTCTTTTCTTGTTGAAACAAATTTATATCTTTTGTTTTGTTTTTTCATATCTTCTTGCCATTGTTCGAACAAATTACGTCCATCTTTTCTTCCACCAGATTCTTTTCCTTCGGGTAGAAAGTGTTTTCTACCACCACCAAGCATTACTTGATAACCTTTATGATCTTCAACCAATTGTCGAGCAATATCTTTGCATCTTTTATCTTCAAAAGGTAATCCTGATTCAAAATGACGACTCGAAATATGAGCATATGTTCCAGCAGGTGTTGCATCTGTTACACTTGCCGTAGTAACAAATCCAACACTTTTACCTGTTGATCATTATTATTGATTTTTGAATGATTGTTGAATCATTTGGAATTATATTACCTGATTTAAGAGCCTTTTCATAGATCGTTTCCGCACCGTTTTCTAGCATCAATGAACAATCTGTACTTTTAAAAGGCACTCTTCCATTCACACCAATCGTGCCATAATTTGCTTTCACTCCGGAACAAAATGCAGTTGCAGTTCCGGCTGAATCTGGAACTGGAAAATCTATGTTGTATGTCTTTGAATTCAAAAGTTTAAAAAAAAATTAACAAATTCAAGTTAAATAACAATCTACATACCTTCATAACTGCTACATTATCCCATTTTTCAAAAGCTAAATTTTCACCATAATTACCTGTCAATTGTCGTTTAAGTAATCGAGCAGCCGAAATGGATGGAAAACCCATTCCATCACCAAGAAAAAGAATAGCATTTTTAGCTTGTTTGATTTCATTAGCATGAACAAACTTTTTCGAATAATACAATGTTTTTTTAGTCAATTTTCTCCAATATTGAGGATCCTCTGGAACTGCACAAAAAATACGATTTACAATGTAAAAAGTTACGAAAAAAATTAATAAAAATTTCATTATCGATTCGTTAATAACAAAAAAGATTAATGACTGAAAAGCAACAAAAATAACATAATTACCAATGAATTTATATATTTAAATATTTTTCAAGAATGTCTATAATTCAATAAACATTTAATCTTATATTGTTATAAAACGGTTATCATTATTATTTAAAAAAAAATTATTTAAAATTTATTACAACGCTTAGAAAATAATTTAATACAATTCAATTCAATTTGATTTTAATCAATTAAAGATCATAAAATAGTATTCATAATTAAGAATCAGTTGATTTTTGTTGTAAAAATCTGATTTAAATAAACTAATTAATTTCATTAAAAATGTAATAAAATTGCACAATTAAACAATCAAAGGTAAAAAAAAACATTTAATTACATTAATTATCATTATTATTATTATTAAATGATGTGACGTCAACATTGAAAATTCTGGTCAAAATTTTTCAAATGTATGCTGATCAAATATATTCAAATTGTTGACACAGTTGTCTAAACAACATGATGATTATTCCATTGATGATTTTTTTAGCCTTGAATATTTTGAAACAAAACAAAAAATCATTTCCGATCTTGACATTGATCAAAAATGTTATGTTTAAAAAATATTCTAATACATTTTGGCCTGAAATGTTATCAATTTATTTTTGTCATTATTTTGATACTTTATTTTTGGTTTTTTACCAATGAAAAACATAAAAATCCAATTCAACTATGTTCAGATAATCAAAATTCGATTGATATTAATCTTCAAAAATTGATGATCAGTGGATCGAAAATTGATCATGCAAAAATATTATTAATATCTGAAGCTCGAAGTGGATCAACTTTTCTTGGTGATTTATTACATTATGCAATTGAATCAAGTTATTATAGTTTTGAACCATTGGTTGGAGCTAAACGTAATCCAAATGATTATAAAAAAATTATTGACAATATTTTTGATTGTCAATTTGATTCGAATTCATATTTGAAACCAATGTATTGGAAAATTCAATATTTAAAATGGAATAGATTACTAATGAAAATCGTTGGTTTCGATCAATATGAAAATGATGATATTCATTTGTTTAACAAAACAATTCATCAAATAATATGTCAATCAAGTTCGGCTATAATTATCAAAACTATACGTTTTACATTAAAAAATTTATCATCGTTAATTTTGTCTAAATCAAGTATGATATTTATTTAGTTCAAAATTTATGAATAATTTAGTTTTTTTTTGCCCACAGTAAATAACATGAAGATAATCTTTCTTGTTAGAGATCCTAGAGCTGTAATGAGTTCTAGATATAAATTATCATGGTGTCTTCATAATGAAAATTGTACAGATTCTCGAGTATTATGTGATCGTATTCAAGCTAATATCGAATCATTAAAAATGATTAAAAATTCAATGAAAAACATATCAATCATATTATTACGTTATGAAGATTTAATTGGCGATATTTGGAAATCAACAAATAGTTTGTTCAAATTTTTAGAAATTGTTCCCAACCCTTCACTTGATCAATGGATACGAAAACATACTTTGGCTAATGATTTTCTATTAAATCCACATTCAACATATAGAAATATCAAATCACAGCAAACGATTGGATGGAGAGAAAATCTTTCATATGAAGATTTACTTGACATACAATACGATTGTTCAGATGTAATGAACGAATTAGGATATCGACTAACTAATTATCGTTCAATCAAATCAAAATTCCAAACCATTTTCGAGGTAGTTAGCTTTGATTTTCCATTAAAAATTTATTCTCTGTAATAAAAAATAAACTGACAATGAATTGAATTGATGAATGATGTTGTTGATAACGACGGTATGTGGTGGTGGCCAGTTTTTTTCAGTTGTATTTCCTTAAAAAAATATATAAACCTGTTTAAAAGAAAATGAAATCAATACAAACACTCTAATAATGTATGTTCTTTTTTTTCTACATTGAAATCCTTAAGTGTCAATATTCTTTTAAATATGAATTCCAATTACGAATGAATGAATGAATGAAACAAAAACAAAAATTAACTCATTCCATTCGATTGAACACCAACCATGATTAAAAAATATTAGACTGGCAATTGATTGGATGATTGTTTTTTGTTTTTTCTCACAAATTTCAAAATTTATCAACAATTTTTTTCAATGTCGATTCTCAAGGAAATCGATTGATTGTAATACGATTAAACATCACATATTATCAATATAAGCCAATCGTTTGAAGACATGTTTTAGTGATTTTTTTTATTGAATAAATGAAATGATAAGTTGTCAAAAGTGGAATAAAAAGACGACAAAGACAATAATTGACTATATTTAAAGTTTGTTTTGGTGATTGAAATTTTTTTCTTTTTTTTTTGTGTTCGGTTGTTTTACCTATTTGAATTTTGCAATGAATTTGACGGAATTGAATTGGATCATTTCATTGATCATAATCTTGATATCCATTACGAATGGTAAATTGATAATATTATATTCTTTGAAAATTTATATTATTTTTTTAAATATCATTGATTTAAGTTCATGGTCATAGAGAGAAAAAAAGCTATGAAGAAGAATGTGAAAATGAAGAGGAAATGGTCGAACTATGTGCTCGAGATTTTCTCATTTATACAAATGAAACAATGGCTGAAACAGAAACTGAAATGGATACATTTTGCAGGTTATTAATCAATTAATTTTGTAAATTTTTTGCTCATTTTAATCTCCACAATGTAGAATCTACAAAGACAAAGAAAGATGTCTTCGTGATCATTCGAACAAATGTCTTTCTCATTCGGCTAATCAAGCAATTATGGAATTGATTCGAACCATATCGAACAAGAATAGAGCAATTTGTTCAAGTAAACAACGACGAAACGTACAGATTCGTTCAAATCGATGCTTAAATCAGCAACGATCACAGAAACCAAATTATTGTTATAATAAATTTGTTCAACGAATTCATGGCATTCATCAATATGGACAAGAGGAAAAGATTCCAATAATTTGTTGGTAAGAATTTTTAAATGATTGAAATTTTCTGTCAAAAATATCTAAACATCATTTTTTTTCAAACAATTAGCAATTATCATGAATTTTTGACCTGTTTTCGAAATCAGTTAAAAACATGCGCTCATGATTTGATTAATAATCTGTTAAGATTAATACAAAATTATTCTGGTGAAACATTGAACTATGTTTGTCGTGAATATAAGAATTCAAACAAATGTCAAAATATAGGTTTAATCAAAGATGATGATGATATTATAAATGAAACTCGACCACAAACATTTTTTTCATTATTGGTAAAAATATATCTCAGTTAAACAAAGTAATGGCTTAAAGATGGTATGATTCATATTATAATTTTTTAGTTGATTTATTATATGATAAACATATTATCTTACAATTATTTTTAAAAAAGAAAACACCAAAGAGTATCGAAATTTTTTAATAATAAAAAAATATTACAATCAATTCATTTTTCTTCGTTTGAATCGAGAAGATCTTGTATGATTTGCTATTCCTTCTTTCCCATCATTATCATCATAATCATTGTCATTATCATGTTCAGAATTATTGGAATGATGTTCATTGTTGTCATCAATATCGTTAATATTGTTTTGAGATTGCTCTGTGGCAATGGTACATAATCCTGTTGGATAATCTTCATCATCTTCATCCTCTTCTTCGTCATCATCATCATCTTCTTCTTTAAGAAAATGATGGGATTCATCTTCATAATAATCGCCATCTTCATTATTGGTACACGATTTAAGTGATGATCGTGTCATCTCCATAGTTATATAAGACTTGACATCGTCCGGTATTTGTTCACATTTATAAAGAAGATGTAATCGAAATTTAGTGACATTTTTGGAAGAATAAATTTTTTTGCAATAATTGCATTGGTATTGTCGGCGATCTATTTTTTTAAAAAATAAGAATGATTAAACCAACAAAGTGATATCATATAATACTTACCTTGATGTGAGACCAACGAAAAATGCTTCCAGATTGGTATTTTGATTTGGGTCCAAGTTTTCAATGGAGATTCATAGAAGGAATTGTTGATTTTGTGTCTTATACTTAACGGTATTTTATCACATCTTTCAAGAAGATGTTCACGGCATTTGGTGGCATTTTTGTTAGCATAATTCATACAACAATAGATACATTGTATGACAGTTTTATCTTTAAACAGATTATGATATTATAGTTTTATTTTACAATTAATTCAAAATTACTTACCATCATCGTTGATGATGCAAAAATGTTCCCATATTGTAGAACGTTTTTGTTTGTTGTAAGAATCAATATAATCCTGACTGAATGTTGAACGCATTTCGATTCGTACCTCTTCGTCTATCTTACGACATTTGAACGCCAAATGTTCTCGACATTTAGTGGCATTTTTCGATGAATATTCAATACCTTATGTTCATTATCCGATTTTAATGAAAATAACAAATTTAATTGAACTTAAATACTTACCACAAAATATGCAATTGATGGAAATTTTACCATCTTTCTCAGAATTGATGAAATAATTCCAAACAGTATATTTCGAACCAGTTGGTGGCGAATTATAACGACGAGGTTTTGAGCTTTTGATTTCATCCGGTGCTTTATCACATTTTTCATTAATGTGTTCCCGGCATTTGCTTGCATTCATGTTACGATATGCGAAACATTTTCCACAATAATTACATTCAACACTTTTTTCTCCATCAGTATCGGCCAATACGGTGAAATGATTCCAAATAGCAGCTCGTTTTTCGACTTTTGAAGGAGCTTTTTCGGACCCAAAAAACAAGACAAATTAAAAGTAAATTTTTCATTTGAATTTGGATTACCTGGTTCGTTATCGCTGACAATCAACACTCTTCGTCGTTCATTGGATAGTTCGCTAAATTTTATATTACATTCATCAATTAGATTGAAACATAATTGTATTTTTCGTTGCAGATCATCCATCTCTCGTTTATCAGGTTCTTCGACGGCTTTTACCATATCAAGTCGTAATAATAATTCAATCAGTTTAGCTTGATGTTGTACTTGTGATTGCAAAATGGCAAACTTTTCCTGAGTTGAAGTCAATTCTTTTTTTAGATTTTCATTTTCGATGACAAGATTTTCTGAATCTTTCAAAAATTCTACACCATCTTGACTTATGTTTTTAACATTAATAAATTCCAATTGTATATTGGAATTATTATTGATGGCTAAAATTTCTTCAGCATTTTCATTCATGATAATATTTTCTTCAATACATTCTTCATTTTGATTGTTAAGATCTTCGACTTTTATCTGAAATTAAAAGAAAAACATCTATTGCATAAGGATCATTATCATTTCATTGATTTTTTACCGAAATATTTTTATCCATGTTTTTTTTTATAATAAAAATTCATCTGCTATAGCAACAAAATTAAATCAGAATAATACACACAGAGATAAATAATTTGCGTAACGTTACCCGTGAACTGTACTGTTAAAAAAGACTAAATTATTTAACTTTGACCAGAATCGAATAATTCCCGCTATTTGAAAAAAATTCAATCAAATTTCTGAGATGTTTCCGAAAAAATTTTGGTGTGGAAAGGTTCGCGTGAAAACTGCTCAAAAAAAAAAAAAAAAAAAAAAAAAAAAAAAAAAATTTGTTGGGGGGAAAAAAAAAAAAAAAAGGGTTTNTTTGACCAGAATCGAATAATTCCCGCTATTTGAAAAAATTCAATCAAATTTCTGAGATGTTTCCGAAAAAATTTTGGTGTGGAAAGGTTCGCGTGAAAACTGCTAAAAAAAAAAAAAAAATAGCAAACATTGCTGTGTGCGACAACACAAAAAATAGTGATTTCGCTTTTGATCATAGAATTTTTTTCAACAACCATACGTAAATGACGTTTTCGAATTTCAGAATCGAAATTCTAAATTTTTATTATTTTTTGTTTCTAATTGTCGATAATTAACCTAAATATTAGAAATGGAATCTGAACAGGTATGTTTCTTATAAATAAATTAACCAATTTCATTTGATGGCAACTTGTTCTATTTTTAAGGAATCAAATTTAGATTCTAATATTCAAAAATTTATCTCTATTCTTCGTCAATTTGATTATTCATCGTATATTGGACCTCAAAAAGAATTGGTCTGTTTTTGTGAACGTAATTTCCATATGACAGATTTATATGTGATTGAACAGGTATGTTTCATTCTTTTCTGTTATTTTATTCCATTATTTATGTTTATTTAGTTCATTCGTCAAATGAATTATTATTCACATATTGATATCGATACGGAAAGTGCCAATGAAATACTACAAAGACTTTCATCTAATCTGGAAGAAAATTTCAAACAAGCAATCGTGAAGAATTTATTGGCCATGAAATTAGATAAACAACACCAACAGTCACATGGTAAATAATATTGCTAGTTCATTGTTATGATTTTTAAAAATTATTTTTTCATCATCAACAATATAATAGCATTGATCACCTCCGTCAAACATGTTGAATGTAAACGTCTAGATTCCGAAAACAATCAGTTCCTGATAAATTTTGATACCAACAATCCTAATGTCGATAATAATGAAACAAATGGTCAGCTGTCTTTTGTTATGAATAGAGAACAAATGAAAAATATCTGTGATGAAATGGACAAAATTCGTCAGCAATTATTCAATTCGGTTGAATAGAAATGATCATGCTTTTTTCCAAATGAATTGTTTAATCGCGTTCTTTGCTTTGTCACTTACAAAAACATGTAATCATGTCTTTACATCATGAATTACACACATTCTATCCATATGAATTCCTTACAATTACTATTCAATTGTTAAATATCCGATTACCTTCGAAATGTCATACTACACATGTTCAAATACGCAAGTCCTGACATTCAGATCAAGAATGATGATTGAGTTTATTTTTAAAATCTTTTATTCATTTGATTTCCTTAAAGAATACCATTCTTTAAGACTTCCCAATTGAACAGTGGCCAAAAAAAAACCTCATACACAATTAATAAAAAAAAACATCGGGACAAAAGAAACAATTATAATAGGTCATGATCATTTTGTCATTTAAAAGCAAAAAAAAATTCCAATCAAAAATTTCGAAAGCAAATTGTTTTTTTTTGTTTCAACAACAGATTAAAATTCGAAACTTTTCAAATCGATGACCATTAATCGATATTTATTTTTATCAATAAATCTGCATATCTAAGATACAAAAAACATTATGATAACAAATTATGAATGAATTTTTTTAAATCATTATCATCAATGGCAATGAATCGGATAGCCATATTTTTGATGAAGCTAATTTATTAATTAAAAAATTGGTTAAATTTTCATTAATATCATGTTGTTGTTTTGTTATTTGATGGCGCATGATCGACATTGATTCGTAGTGGTCGTGCTGGTTTGGTCTGGTTCATTGGTGAAAAACTATCCGTTCGTATTTGTGTGTGTGTGTGGTGTTAAAAAAGCATGCATGCAATTAAATTATGAATGACACTGAATGCCCTTCAACGTATATGCCTGTTTTTTGTTGAATGCAACTCACCAAATAAAAAAAAAATTTCTTTATAAATCAGTTAGAAAGAAATTGTGTATAGTTTTAGTATCGCCTTCTGTCTTTTCCGCCACCGGTTGTGCCGTCTTGTATTCGTGTGTACATTTGTGGTTTTTTTTTGAAGGTAAAATAAAGAGACAAATTCATTCATTTGCCTTAAATTTATTCGAGTCATAACGACATTCACATTTATACCCTAAACTCATTCACCGATACATACAAAACATCACTAACATTCACATTGTTCCCATTCATTCATAGCCATACATACAGAGCACACCCGCACCATCAGTGATCTTTAAATTTAAAAAATTTTTTGCTCACATTTCGTTCCAAATTATTCTGATTAATCTAGAATTTTAAGTCAAATCTCCCGATTGAATAATAAAAATGCCATTCGACGCTACATCATTTGCCAAGGATTTTATTGCCGGTGGTGTTTCGGCCGCAATCTCAAAAACCGCCGTAGCTCCAATCGAACGTGTCAAGCTTTTGCTTCAAGTTCAACATGCATCCAAGCAAATCGCCGCAGATAAACATTATAAAGGTATGATAATATAAAGTAATCTATTCATTTCTCTTATTAAATATTTTATTTATGAAAATCAGGTATCATCGACGCTTTCGTTCGAATCCCAAAGGAGCAAGGATTTCTTTCACTATGGAGAGGCAACTTTGCCAATGTCATTCGATATTTCCCCACACAAGCTTTGAACTTTGCGTTTAAAGATAAATTCAAGCAAATATTCTTGGATGGTGTCGATAAGAAAAAACAGTTCTGGCGATACTTTGCCGGTAATTTAGCTTCTGGTGGAGCAGCTGGTGCTTCTTCACTTTGCTTTGTTTATCCACTTGATTTTGCTCGTACCCGTCTTGGTGCCGATATCGGTAAAGGACCAAATGAAAGACAATTCAAAGGTCTTGGCGATTGTCTTGTTAAAGTTTTCAAAAGTGATGGTTTAATGGGTTTATATCGAGGATTCAGCGTCTCCGTTCAAGGTGAATACAATCTATAAATAGAGCTATTGTAACTAGTGTACTCATATTTATTCAATATTTAGGTATCATTATATACCGAGCCGCATACTTTGGTTTCTTCGATACTGCAAAAGGAATGTTGCCTAATCCTAAAACTACACCAATCGTCATTTCCTGGATGATTGCTCAGGCTGTAACAACTGTATCTGGCATTATTTCTTATCCATTCGATACTGTCCGACGACGTATGATGATGCAATCTGGTCTTTCAGCTGGCGATAGAATGTACAGAAATACTGCTCACTGTTGGGTCAAAATTGCTAGAACCGAAGGCCCGAAAGCTTTTTTCAAAGGCGCTTTGTCAAACGTTTTCCGTGGTACGGGTGGTGCATTCGTCCTTGTGCTTTATGATGAAATTAAAGCTCTCATTGTCTAAAATGAATCTTGGTCTTTATGGTAAATTCGTGGGCAAATTCTATGTGAAAATAGTGAATGATTTGTTTAGTTTTTTTTTAAAGAAAGATTCGCATTAGGAACACCATCTATAATAATTTCCTCATTTAAATTATTTTAAATTTTAATAAATTCCGAAAAAAATAAATATACAAATAAAAATTATTTAAAACGTTGGAAATATGTTTTTGCTTCGATCCATTTGTGCTTAGGAAACCGTATCGGTAATGACCATTTTTTGGCGACTAGAATTTCAAAAAAACACAAATCATTAGCAGGAAAAAAAATTAAATGCTAATGATTACTTATGTTATTCTGTCGTCGATCATTTTCCAATTGATCCAGTTGGCTGTTCATGATTTCCTGATCGATAAATTTCGACAACATTGTTGTAGACATTTCCTGTTTCAAAATATTTAGATTATCATCATTGTTGAAACAGCAAACAATCAGTGTGGGAAAAAGAATCTGTTTCAAACGATTATCGCTAAAATAGTCGAATGGCAGTGAACATAATTGTTGTACGACGGTTGGTCTTTGTCCTGATTGCAGCAATGTCTATTAATTGATAAATGCGATAAAAAAAATGAAATGTCGTCATACCGAAAATGATCATGCATCAGTCAGATGAAACTCACTTGATTATCATTATTAAGCACGACAAAATTTCCAATCAACAAAATGACTTCATTGAGCAAATCTGAATTGTTCAGATGATGTGAGCAATACCAAATCAAATAGCTACAAATGTGTCGTATCTGTAAAGAAAGTCCTTCACTTCCTAAAATCGACTGAAATGATATCATTAATTAAAGATTTTTAAGAAAATGTCGAAACATATTGAAATAAAATTTTTTTGATCATTACCTGAATTAGGTTAATATCAAGTAACATTAAATAGTTGAAAAAGCGTATTATTTCTAATGCAACATTCAATGTATGATCAGGCACAATTGCCGGAACTTTTTCTTCACGAACAGGAGCACCGGAATGTAATAGAAATCCATATAGCAATGATACAGTACCGCAAAGTTGTGTAACCTTAAGCGTTAACATGAATTGAGTTCCATCATGTTTCAAATTGACGCCATAAGCAATTTCATGGAAATCATCGGACGATGATAAGTTAAGCAATTTAGCCAAAGAACTAGAAAATGTAATTATCTGTTTGATAAATAATGATTGCTGAGGCAATTCATTTATCGAACCACGAAATGATGTTAAAATCATGGAAAGTTTGTCCACAACGCCTATCAGTACCAGATAACTATAAATTTATGTATTTAAAAAAATGATAAATTATGATTATCATAAAATGGATAAAGGTTTACTTGAATATCTCTTTAAGATGTGTACGAATAAATCGCGTTGTTTCATCATCGTTATTATCGTTATTACATGAATAATGGGCAAAAATCTGATCAAATGATGTGGAAAATAGTTCACATAACGCTCCAACCACAGGATCATAAGGAAACGATGTCACATTGGAATTATTGTTACAGCTGTTAACGCATAGCTAAATAGATATAGAGAGACAATTTTTAGTTGTGATAAAAGCTACAATCAGATAATAGCTCACATTGATACGATGATAAAAAATCTCTTGAACAGTGATTATGTTTTGAGATCGAAAAAAATACCTACAGATTCGAAAATCCGATCGACATAATTGTCTATATAAAACGATCAGTTTGGTATTTGCATTATCAGTCAATGATGTTGGACGCTCAGCAGAACTGTTCATTATTCGTGAAAGAATTTTGGTGAACAACGATAGTCCACCGATTCGATAAAAATACAGAGCATTTAATGAATTAGTTTTAAATAATTTATCAAGTTCAAATAAAAATCGTTCAAAACTACGAATCATATCAATTGGCCATTGGCCACTGATTCTATCATTCGAATTCAATATACCAAGATCTTTGATTATTTTGGCAAGTTTTTGTTTTGATTCTTTTGAAATATTTTCAATTTCTGAATTTTGAACATCTTTTTCAAGATTGAATGTTTTTTCAAAATCTACAGCTTTATTAACCAATTTTTGTTTAAGTTTTTTGGATTTTTTCTTCGCTTGTTTTAATTTTTCGCTATCACAATCCTGGAATGATTTCAAATAATCATCATTGCCATCACCAAGAGCTTGAGCATCAATTATAAATTTTAGATTAAAATTTTCCAATTCCTCTGGACTAGGAATTTTTCCATCATTTTGTTTGATTATAGCGTCATTGTGTCTTTTACCCCTCAAATGTCCAAATAGGTAAACTTCTGATTTGATAATTACTTTACAGAGGGCACACATTTTAACCGTATCATAAGGTACACAGACTAATGCCTCATCACTGGTACTTGAAGATTTTTTCACCGATAATTCTAATGCTTTTTGACGAATTTGTTCCATATTTTCTTCATGTCTTCGTTTGCTTTCTTCTTGTTTGGCCAGAATCTTTTTCTGTAGTTCTTCTTTTTCGGCAGCATGTAATGCATTTAGCGCTGATATCTTTGATTTTCGATCCAACTCTTTTTGAAATGCTAATTCAAGACGTTCTTTTTCCTTTTCCTGAAATTGTCGTTGAATTTTCATTACTTTTAGCTTTCGTTGTTCTTTAAGTTTTTCAATTCTGGCCTGTTTTTCGGCTTCGATTGCTTTTCGTCTTTCCTCGAATGCTTTTTCTTTCGATGCTTTTTCTTCCAATTTTCTTTGTCGTTCTTCTTGTAAATCTTGTAATCTTGATTCATGAACTTTTTCTTTGCTAAAAATTTCATGCTTTTTTGTATCCGCTCCCAATGAATTAATAAACAATATTTCACTAACTTTTTCATCTTCATCATGAGCTTTTCGAACAATTTTATTTATTTGTTCTTGTCGTTTTTTGCCCGCTTTTTGTAATCTCATCTCCATAGATAATCTTAGCTGTATCTGTTGTTCTTCTTTTTGAGCTTTGATTTCTTCAACTTTTTTGAATATATCTTTGAATTTTTCCGCTCTTTTTTCCAACAATTTTTCCCTTGCTTCTTGTGCTTTTGCCTGTTTTTCTTCTTGTTTTTTTAACGTATCACCAACAGGGCGACGTCGTGATGGCGATGAGAATTTTTCATGAAATTTAAGAACACGACATGGTGCGCGATTATCGCCGACCATATTACCACTGTCCATTCGATTATTATGATGATGAATGGACAAATTAGCATTATGTTTACTTGGTGAGCTATCATTATGGTCGATTATTTTTAATTCGGTGACCTTATTTCGTTGCCGATAACGGACAACTTGAAAACCATCATCATCGAGAAACGGTTTTGATGAAACAATATTCGGCATACTATAGCGATGATTTTTACTCGTATTGTAAATTGTATCATTTTTATTTACATGTGTCATATCACTTTGATGGTCCGAATGAACACTGGATATAAGATCATTGCTAGAAAAAAAGACATTTGTTAACAACAAAATTCTTAATTATAAACAATCATAAACAATACCCATTTTCATATTTCGGAAGTATTGTTTCAAAATTATCGGATTTGATAAGTAAGCTCTCTCCGATAATGGAATTTGATGATATCGTTGAGTCATCATCATTTTCAGCAGTATCGATTTTTTTCACTTTAAGCTCTTCTTCGTTCTGATGAAATTTTACCTTACTTTTTTCGTCATTCAAATAACATGAAAAAATTGATTTTTCCGGTAATCGTTTTCGTACTTCCCATGATACTGAACTTGGTCGTTGTGGTGTAGATTCAAGATCTTTGTTCAATTTTAACCATTCAATCAAAGATTCAAAATCACGAATATGATTTTGTAGATTAAGAATCACTTCACGGCATTCATCAATAGATTCATCTTCTTCACAATTCTGATAGATTTCATCAATAATACGATTTAAATGATCAAATAAAAAGGTCCAATAACGTGAATGACGTTCTTGGAAATCTCTTGATCTTCCTAAAGATACTGAACGTGTACGATTTATGGATTCTAATTTTACCATGATTAATAAAGAATTTGAAGATTCATTTAATTGATCATTCTGTGATCAGCTGATCATACGTTAGTAACAGAAACGTGGCGCTTCAGTTAGTAAACATAACACACACAAACACACGAATATTGAATTTTTTCTTGTGAAAATTTTTTTAAATAAATTTTATTTCAATAATAACAATAGAAGTAATAATTTTTTGCTTTTTTTGTTTATATAAATTTTGGAAATTTGACATTTTTAGTTTTTTTTAACGGGATAAAAGCGGAGTAGACAAATTGCACAATTCATTTCATTTTGTTTTGTTTGTTTTTCTCATTAATTGTTTGGTTTTTTGAATTACTAAAAAAAATACTGTACACATACATAGAATTCGAATTTGAACTAAACAATTTAATCAATGATACGGATCTGATTTTTAAATGTTACTTGCTCATAGACAATCTAATATTTCATTCAACCATTTCAAATGTTTTTGTTTAATCGGGTGATGGCATACATTTAAGTCGTTCGAATGCACCACGTTCTAATGCTTCACGATGATCTGGATGGGCAATCTGTATGAGAGCATGTGCACGTTGACGATAATTTTTACCAAATAGATAAGCAATACCATATTCTGTAACCAAATAATGCATATGGGCACGTGTAGTTACAATACCAGCACCGGGTTTTAGGCTAATGGATATTTTTGATTCACCTTTTCTAGTAACTGAAGGCATGGCCAGAATAGCTTTTCCTTTACCATCTAAACCTTTAGCAGCACCACGTAAAAAGTCAACTTGACCGCCAAAACCTGCATTAAATTATAATAAATAAATAAATGCAAATTATAATAAAAAACACATTCATTATCCAACTGATATAACTGATTTCCATACCTGAATATACACGAGTGCCAATAGAATCAGCACAAACCTGACCAAGAATATCCACTTCGATACATGAATTGATTGCAGTCACTTTGGGATTTTGGGCAATGTTAAATTCATCATTGACATAATCAATTCCCATCATAACAATAAAAGGATTGTTATCGACAAATTCGTATAATTTTTTCGATCCAATCAAAAACGATGCTGTAATTCGTCCAACTTGTAATTTCTTTTCCGAATTAGTAATTACACCTATATCAATATAATAGAATAAAAAATCGGGCAACAAGTGTCATCAAATTTATTTTCGGAGAATCGATCAGATGAATGCAATCTCACCTTTGTTACAAAGGTCAACAACTCCGTCGGAAAACATTTCAGAATGAATGCCAAGATTTTTATGATTAACCAAATCGGCAAGTACAGCATCCGGAATGGCACCGATACCCATCTGCATAGTGGCACCATCTTCCACAAGATTTGCAGCAATCAATTGTCCAATTTTTTTCTCAGTATCTGTTAAATTTTTCGGTGCATGATCCGGCATTGGAAGCGGACCATCAACTAAGGCATCAAAATGTGATTGATGTACAACTGAATGACCAAATGTTCGTGGCATAAATTTGTTCACTTGACCGATAATATATTTTGAATGCATTAATGCAGCACGTGCAACATCGCATGAAGTTCCCAATGAATGATAACCATGTTCATCAGCCGGTGAAACAGTTACCATAGCAACATCTGGTTTAATTATGCCCTGATAAAAAAGCTTTGGAATTTCACCCAAAAAAATTGGAGTAAAATCAGCACGACCAGCATTGATTGCTTCACGTGAATTAGCACCAGTGAATAATGAATTGGAACGAAAAATTCCTTCAAATTCAGGAGCATTATATTCACCTGCACCTTCTGTATGTATATGATGGATACGAACATCTTTTAGTTTATTTTTTTTACCATGTTCAGCTAATGCAGGTACAAGTGCTCTTGGTGTGGCTGCAGCACCATGTATAAATACATGATCACCTATGATTTCAAAATTAACAAAAAAAATAGACAAAACAAGAAATGAAAAATTAAGTTTACAAAAATCATATCATTCATTCATTCATTGTAATCATCATATATATCATCTTTCACTAATTTTATTACAAATTTTTCATATATTTTGCTCTCATTGATGATTTATAATTCAAGGGCTTCAAGCTAATCATGTTTTTTTTTCGTTGTTTTATTCGAAAACAATATGTGGTCACACAATAATAATAATAATAATTGTCTTGCAATTCAAATCATCTTCAGAATGTAACAAGTTTTGTTTAAATTTTTTTTTGAAATAAAGGGAACAAAAAAAAAAATAGCTGAAAAAATTCGTAGGTAGGGGTTAATGTGTGCATAACATTCGGTCAAATTATATATTTTTCCATTTAAGAAAATGTTGTTGTTGTTGTTGTTGTTGGTGATGATCATGTGAACGATTTTTTCACACAATCTTTTTTACAAATAAATAAAAATGATCATTATTAGTAGGAAGAGTTTCGAAGGTCGAACACATATATATTATTTGGCCTGCTGCTGTTGCTGATATATTAAGTTTACCGTTAAGGATCAATTACATGGCAATATTATTTTGTACAAATATACAAATCAAAAGTCACGAAAATTATTTTCTAAATAAATATAGAGCAAAGGAATTTGGCAATAGTAACAAAAAAATAGTAATCAAAATAATAATAAAAATCTAAATGAAAACCAAATGTCTTAAGGAATGATTGATCATTTTTTTTACTGTTTTTGTTTTGTTGTTGTTTATGTTCCTATTGATGATGATATTGAATCAAGGTCTATTTGATCCATCATCATTTAAAAAAAATCATCATCAACAAAGTGATGTTAAATACATTTATGTATGTAAAATACACACATGGAAATAAAAAAAGAAAATTAATTCAAAGAAAAATCCCAAACATATTTCATTATTCGAATGGAATCCTTTTTTTTTGTTGTCGTTGTTCAATTATAATATGAAACGATGTGTTTTTTGGGTACACATACCGGATTTTACAGCAGAAACAGCTTCATCAGCGGTCATCGATTTTGGTTGTCGTCCAGGTATTGGATGTGTTGGTTCATTTGTATAACCATGATATTGACATCGACTTAACATTAATGGTAATTTCATCCATTGTAATGTTTTATGTTGTTGTTGTAAACGAATAAATTTACGTAAAAATGTCATTTCAATTATTTTGGACTACTATAATAGATGATGATGATGATGATGAAAATTTATTTTATTTTCTTTAAAAAACAACAAAACTTTCAATTAAAGGACACTGATATTTTGTACTTGTATTTTTTCCTTTCTATTTCAGGCTTTGTTAAATATTCAAGCCAAACTGTTAAACGATATATAGAGCAGCAGTAAAATATCAAACCAGCCAAATCGACAACAATATCGAATTTTTTTATCAACATTGTTTTTTCAAGCCTGCGCAAACATATTTTTCACACACAAACCAAAAATAACGTTACAAAATTAAACCAAAAAATGATTTTTTTTAGATATAATTATCGTAGAAATTTAAAGATATTAAAACCAGATAATCGCTTGACATCGAATATTTCGATTGGAAAAAATATCAACTTGTCTCGTTTCTAAGGATAAAAATATATATATTTTTTTGTCTATTTATCAATCAATCGATCAATCGATGTTTATTAATCGATCTTTGATCTCATCAAACAACATATTTAAAAAAATGACTCGCCATTTTTGTTATCTGTCATAAATTATTTGTCATTTTAGTTTTTGGAATAAAAGTGAAAATGATGTTTTATCCATTACATATAATTAAAATTTGAAATTTTCAAAAAACATTGATATTCAAATTTGTTTCCGGATGTTTTTCTTGTTCGGGATAATTACCATTCACACTTCTGGGCAAATTTAATCAAAGAAAATATGATCAAATTGCCAACAGACTTTGGATTTTTTGAATTTTGAAATGTTTATGAGAAACTCTAAACTGTTTCCTGATGTTATCCAAAACGAAAATCAAGATGTAACAAAAATTTTTTTGTTTTTTGTTTTTTCATAGAAAAAAATTTATTAAATGATATTGAAAATGGTTTAGTTTCCTCCTTTTTTTTGTGCGAATTTAGTGAATATTTCAGTGGGAAAGCAAAGAAAAGAAAATCGATTGAAATTGTTTCATTTTTTTTTAAATAATCCTAATCGATTTGATCATTGATCATTCATCGTTTCTTCTGGCCTTCGAATTGATATTTATAAAACAAAAAAAAAAATTTTTTTTTAATCGTTGGATTCAAATGAAATCGAAAAAAAAACAATCAATTGATCGTGTAAAAACAACTTAATGAAATGACATTCATGAAAATATTAAGCCAAATAATTTGAATCAATCTTTTTTGAAAAAAAGTCAACCCTTTTTTTTGCATTTCAATCATTGACATTTTTGAAAATTTTTTTTTGTATTCAAAGGAATTTTTTTTTTGTTCGTTACATTGGCTGCCAGCCATTTTGAATATACGAAATTTGAATGGGTTTTTCTCTTGCTCCGTTTTGTTTTAAGATTAATTAATTCATTGAATATGATGGCTGAATATCCCTAAATGATGTTTTCATTTTTTCATTTTTTTTTGCTTAAATAAAGCAATTTGATTTGCTTGGCAACAATTGATTCACATTCAACGATATTTTATCGGATCGGTCATTGATTAATTTAAATTATCTTTTTTTTCATCATGATCATCATGAGAAAGGGGAAAAAAGGATAAATCAAATTTTCACATTATCTCTCTCTCTCTCTCTCTCTCTCTCTCTCTCTCTCTCTCTCACACACACACACAGATAATTGATCCAATATTGATCTAGTTTTTTGCGATTTTGATTTTGGTCGTGCAGTTTTAATTTGAAAAAACAAAATCAAAAACAACAGCTTGGATAATGGAGAAACAAAAAAAAAATCTTATAATTTTTTTCAGGTGAAATTCAATTTGATTGAAAATCAATTTATTTGATAATAATAATGATGATGATAATCAATTGTAGAAAATAACAACAACAACAACATTATGCAGTTTACAATGATAATAACTCTGTTGTTGTTGTTGTTTTTCACATTATCAAGTAAAATAAAGTTTGTTTTTTTATGATCTCAAGATGAAGATAAAGAAAGAAACTTCATTTTATCATTATTGTTACGAAATTGTTTTCGTTTTCGATTGAAAATTAAATTTTAATTTTTTTCTTATCTTTTTTTTCGGTTTTTACAAAACAAAAAGCGTAACGATATGATCGCAGCAAACGATTAAAAGGTCAATCAAAAAAAAATTTGGATTGACCGTCAAATTGATGACAATTTTAATTATAATCAATGATGAACATCTTGAGGAACAGCCAAAACTAAATTGATCGGATATATAGACGACGACAACGACGAAAGGAAATGTCATATGCAAAATATTTTATCCAAAAACAAAAAAAAATTTATTAGAAAAAAATTATAATTTTTTTCCCTTCTCACTACGTTTCTTCGCCCTTTATACTTGATTGATTAATTTATCAACAACGCAAACATTCACATTATCTATATTGATAATAATCATCGTTTCACATTGATACCAATCTTACAAGGTTAATTAATTTTGTCATTTTGTTTTTTTAAACTATAGCAGCAGTCTGTGTCTGCTGCATTCATTCATTTTGAAAATTTTGGACATTTTCTTCAATTTCTAAAAAAACAACAAAATATAATGAAAGAATATAATGAAAATTATCAAAAATTCAATACAAAAACGATAGTGAATTGTCTATCGAGTAAATCATGATGTTGATGATAAACTAGGTCAGAAATTTTGTTTTTTTTTGTTGGAAAATTTTCATTCATTCATCAACGAAAAGAATTTGTTTGCCTGTTGCATCTTCTTGTTGAACTTATTTGATCAATTTTATTTTCCAATTTTGTAACATGATTTTCGTCGTTGTTGTTGTGGCTGAAGAATCACGCACGTTTTTAACACTGAATAATTGATGTGATTTGTTTTTTAGTTTTTCTCGCATTTAATTGCAATTAATTTTCTAATTTTCGATACAAAAAGGTGTTAATGGATGAAAATATCTAAACAAAATTACCCAATAGATTGAATAGATAGAATCAAATGATACGCGAATCGAATTGTTCATGATCATCATCATTTTTATCCCCCAAAAAACAAAAAACAAAGATGTTCAATTAATTTCATTTTGAATTTAGTTATGCAATTCTAAATGATTTTTGTTTTTTATTTTCACATCAACAAAACATTGATATCGGTGGAAAAAAATGAAATTCCCATATAATGAAAATTTATCAGCCAAATTGATCTTTGAAAAAAGTAACAAACGAAAATTCATATAATCAAACGACATTCGACAAAATATCCTTGCAACAACAAACAAACAAACAAAATCCATGGTCAGAAATAAATCGTCATCGTTTAAATTAGATTTACTACATCATCAATATCAAAACAGCAAAAAAATTGGATCAAAACATGATGATGATCCATCGATTGATGAATATTTTTTTTTCGTTAACCATTGTTGTGTATGAATGAATGAAGTAAAAAAATATGAAAAACAGAACAAACCATGATGATAATGATGATGATGGATCACGTATTATGTCGAAGTTAATAAAAATAGAGTTTATCAAGACATCAATCGATATATATTTAATAATAATGTGTGTGTATAATATCACATAGTCGTTGATGTGTTATTATCATCATCATCATTAATTGTTTGTTACAATTTTCTTTCTCTCTCTCTCTTTCTTTCGTATACGTTATCAAAGCTATTAATTATAATTATAAATTTTTCTTTTCACAAATAAGGATTTTAACAAAATGAAAATGTATGGCATAAAATATCGTTCGACTTCAATTGTGTTACTAATAATAATAATAATGATATTCTTGTTAAACATCTTGTTGTCAATGTTATCATTTATTCCCTTTATTTTCTGTGAAATTTTGATTTTTTTTCTGATGGTGAAATAATGTTTTTTTTTCACTGGAAAATCATAATAAATCAGTTGATGATCGATAACAAAAAATGGGAAATTTTTATTTTGTTATAAAGGTTCTGTCTGGCTTGTTATTAAGATGATGATAATGAAAGATTGGTCGATGGATGGATGGCAATGATTCGAAGAAGACCATAGAGATTCAGAAATGGCTTTTCTCTTTCTCTCTCTTTAATTTTGATTTTGATACAAATAATAATAACGAAAGAGAATGAAGAAACGAATGTAACTTTTCGTGAAAAAAACAAAAAAAAAATTTATAATTTTTTTTTTATGAAATAAATTCACAACAACAGCAACAACTTTTTTCGACATTTTACAAAATAATAAATTAGCGAAATTGTTAATCTTTGATTTCATTTTGAATTTCTTTCTCTTTTTTTTCAATTAATCTTTCTGTTGTTTTTTTATGTTCATAAGGTGATAGTGGTTTTCATTATTCGCGTGTTTTTTGTTTTTCGTTCCACACCCCCTCAAAAATTCCAAATATTGTGTTTTATCGTTACAAAAAATGAAAATCAATCAAATTTGAAATTATGAATAAATCTTTCTTTTTTTTTTTGCTCTCGTTTCGTTCCCCTCAGATAAACACACATCTTTATTCATTCATTTATTCATTCGATAATTCCATTTCGATCCATATTCAATGTATGATCTGTGAAAAATTATCATTGAAGAGATAATCTTTGAGACAGCAACGACCGACTGATCGTTTTATTTCTTTATCATTTTTTGTTTTGTCATTTATGTTGATGATGAACAAAAAAGGAAAAAATCATTTTGTTTCATTTTGAAAAAATTATAAAATTGTTTTGATTTGTTTTTTTTTTGTTGTTGTTTCTCATCGATTTCTCCTTACGGCTATTGGTGATTTATATGTAACATATTTGTTTCGATAATTCAGACATTCGAATCCAAAAACACACATTGGTGAACTGATTCTCTCTTTTCTTTCATTTATTATTAGACAAATAGAAGGAGGGAAACTTCGATACAGTTTTTGGGAGAAATTTTTTCTATTGAATATATCTGTCTATTTTTTTTAAGAAAAAAAAATCAATATAGCAAATAACATCGATGATGATCAATGATGATCAACAAATTCAAACGATTCTTTTGAATCAAACAATCAATGTCAATTGAAATTTTGTAATTTGTGATTTTTTTTTGATTACATTCAAATATATAATTAGTGTCTTAATCGTGTGTGAAACGATTCATCAATTTTTTAATTTATTAGATTTTGGATCATCATTGAATCATCCAAAATAAATTAAAAAAAATGTTCAACATTCACCAATCAAATGTCGTGATATTTTTGTTGTTGTTGGTATTATCATCATTTTATAAAAATGGTTCTACACAATCATCATTAAATTTGAATGAAACATCATCGACAACAAATCAATTTCGATTACCAACACCAGCACCAACACCAATATTATCACAACCATTATTAAAATCGAATGCAATTGAATATTTTCAATGGTTATTACAAAAAGCATTACCATTTAATTTGAATCATGAACAAACAAAAATATTTTTAATTGCTCCGGCAAATAATTCCGGTATAAATAATTCAAATTTATCAACATCACAACAACAACAACAACAAACATCAACAAATATTGAAAATGATAATATTATTTTTACCGGTATCAGTCAACCGATTGAACGAAGAAAATCTTATTATTTTCTAATTCCAAATGAACAGCTTAATGGTCGAAGTGCATCAGAACAATTGATCACTGAACCACAAATTGTATCGGATCCAATAGCAACACAAAACTATTCATCAGAAATTTTCGACAATAGTTTGTCGCAAAATTTTACCAATTTCAATCAATCAAATAATTTCTCTTTGTTAACCGAAGAAAGTCGTACAAGTGGTAATGATTCACATTCCATATCGAATCCATTTGCATCATCACCATATCGTAGTTCTAACGATGTTATTGAAAGTTTAATTAAAAATATATTCAGTGATTTAACTCTTCAATCGTTACCACCAGAAGATGTTTTATTTGGTAAACTTCCAGAACGTGATTCGAAAGTAGATCTTGATCCAGCTATAATATTTGGAAATATTACACAATCAGATCAACGATCATCAATCGAACTTAATCAATCACCACCACAAAATGAACTTGCATCACAGTTCCAATCGCAACCTTCACCACAATTACAGCCCCAATTCGAATCACAGTTCCAATCGCAACCTTCACCGCAATTACAGCCACAATTTGAATCACAGTTCCAAGCTCAGCCCTTACCGCAATTACAACCACCGCCTGCACCAAAGTTTCAAGATCAACCCTTACCGCAATTGCAACCACCGCCTGCACCACAGTTTCAAGATCAACCCTTACCGCAATTACAGCCGCGACCTTTAAAACAGTTTCAACTGAAACCTACACCGCAGTTAGAACCACCATCACCACCACCAACATCATCACTGCAATTACAAACAGTCAATTTTCGCCAACCACCAACAACTCCATTATTTACAAACTATAGCCTTGAAAATTTCAACAATCAAATTCTTCGCAATGATTTTAATTTAAATCAAAGTCGATTTATTAACAACAACAACATCGATCAAGGTTTAACACGTGATTTGGCTCCAAATCATGGAAATTACAGCTTTGATCGAGAAAATTTTACATTTGTTCGTAATGATAACAATTTGCCATCTTCACGACAGCACAGTGGCTTCGCAAACAATTTCACAATAAATCAAAATTACAATCTAACCAATTCGAATAATTATCAGCCACCCACAACTGTTCCATTGAATCTATCATCATTTCGATTTTCAAAGATTCCTCCTCCTTATCAAGCTGGTGTTGAATATAGTGCACCTGATGAAATGCCCGATCAAGATATTACTGATCAAGATTTATTCGTAGAATTGAATCGAATTCAAGAACAACCATCATCGTCAGCAGCATCATCGTCAGCAGCAAAACCAGCACCAGTATCCCGATTTTCTACGACAAATGTTCCTCAAACATTTCCCACCTCATTTAATAATGAAATCGTCGCAACAACATTACCGATTAATTATGGTCAGCAACAAAATCAACCAAGAATGGTAGGAGAAATTCCAACCAAAACATTTTTTCCACCAACACCAATTCCACGTGGACAAACAGTTCAATTTCATAGTCAACGAGTAACACATGTTGCTCCATCAACAAAATCAACATCAAATTTATCGTATCAAAATTTAAATACCAGTCGTTATAATAATTTTTTCAATAATAATTTTTATGCACCATATGATAATACAAATTATTCCATCTATAATTCACCAATTGTTTCCGGTTCTAATGATAATTATTATAAATATAATTTTTCGGGTAATAATTTTGTTGAAACATTTCCAAACAAATTACAAACAACAAATCAATCACCACTTCTACCACCACCACCAACATCAACATTAGTGACAAATTCATTACCAAACAAACAACAATTATCATCAAGACATTCAACAGGTTTGTTGTTAACATCAACATTTACTGGCAGTAGTTCTATTTCACAACGATCAAAACTTCGACCAACACCGATCAATATTAATAATATACCGAGACCACAACCACCACCTACATTACGAACGAATGATGATAATATACCGATGGTAATGATACCATCGGATTTGGCCAATAGACTTGTCAATATAATTTCATTGCCAAATTATAAATTTTATCTGGGTAAAAAAATTCGCTAAAAAAATGTTTTTTTTCAAGCAAAAATATTCAAAAAAAAAAGTTTCATTATCATCAATAATCATCATCATCATTCATTAATTATTTTCTCTTGATATTCATTCACCAATACTTCAATACAATCCGATTCCAATTATCATTATTATTTTTTTGGTAAAAAAAAAATCTAAATAAATGATTTCAAATGCAAATTCATAATCAACATTGTTTTGTTTTTTTTGGGACAATGAAATTGAAAATTTCGAAATTCATTTCAAATTTATGTGAGTGTTTGTGCACCACATAAATAATCATCATTATCATTATCATTTGGTTTGACCATCATAATCAACATACAATGGAACATTTTCTGATGATGATTTATGTTTGTTTCCTTCCCCCCTCTATTATCAAATGCAAATATATTTTTAGATATTGCCAACGAAACGTACAATTTTTGAATTAATTAATGAATCCAATTCTTTCTGTTTTTGTTTATGTGTTTCTATTGTTATCCATTTAATTAATGAATCAAAATCATTAGCCAAAAATATCAATAAATGAAAAAAATGAAATCAATTGATAATTGATTTTTTCTACCAAAAAAAAAAAGATAGAATCGAAAAGGATGGTCACCTAAGGTCAATGTATTTCTTTGACAGGTAGTTTAACTTGTTTCGGCTGTGTATGTCTTCTTGTTGTTTTTTTTGTGTGTATTCAAAGGAGAAAATTGAAATCGTGAAATTATTATTGCATGATGATGATGATGCCATTGATGAATCAGACACGTCAACTATCTATCTAGAAAGATTGTACTTTTGATATTTAAAATCAATATTGTAATTATCTATCCCTATTGAAATAGGTATGCAGCTGTTGCTAAGTGCTGTAAGTTTTTTTTGTTTTGTTATTAATTTAAAAAATTGAATTGTTATGGTATTCAACAAACAAACAAAAATCTGATAGGATCACATCGTTTCAATTATCGTATGGATATTTCTTTTCATTTATTGTTGGATCAGGCATGATAATATGACAAAAACCTGGATAAACCAATAATAGAGTACAAACGCAATTTCTCACTGGCCATGGAAAATTGGGTTCATATCTCTTCAGAA